GTTCAGGCAAGATCTTTCAGATAGTGGGGTTGAACTGGTATTGCCTTAGAATTTGAAGGAACAAAAATCAGAATACGTCCATTGTACAGCAGCTTATCTATTCGTATAAATTCAAATACATTGAAACTGCCACATCGCAACACTCAAATTCAGTGACTGGTACAATGGACGTCATACCCTAAATGCTGAATTAAGTATTTTAATAATTAATCACTACTTTAATTGATAGTCCTTAATAAATATTTGGGAGTTTGAATTAATTATATTTCTTTTTAAGTAAACTATTTTGATTTTCAATAAAAAAAATAGCGTATATGTTTTAACATATAGATTTTTAACATTTTTCTTAAAATAAACTTTAGACCAGAAAAATATTCAAGTATACAATAATAATCAAAAATTAATTTACTATGCTCCTCTGGTAATAATAAATCGGTGGCTAAATCATAAATGCCACTTTCAGGTGTACTATTGAAATCTCCACAGAATATAACCGATACTTTTCTTTTAGGATCCTGAAATTAAATACATAATTAATAGATTATTTATCACCTTATTTTACTAATTTTTAATTGTATAAAAATAAAATATCATATTTTCAAATAAATTAGATGTTGGTATCTACACAATGATTTTTTTTAGTTAAAATTATTTAATGTTACTGTTAAGAAATGTATTTTAAAAACAATATTCTTAGTAATTTCTTAGATGGTACCTTTGATAATAATATTATATACATTTTTTTCTTGTTTTCATGTAGGTAATATGTTATTTTATAACACTTTTATAGTAAAAATAATTTGTTCTCATTTATATTATAGTTTTGATAGAGTAAACCACTCTAAGTATTTTTATAAACACATATACAATAATGAAGTTAAAATCAATAAACCATTTTATACTTGTTAAATATAACAAATTATTATTGTGATTATTAACCTAATCATTTTAAAATTAAAATATTATAGCAAAACTTATTTCATTTAATATACAGCTTAATAATTTTTCAACTTATATACTTACGTCTTTCATTAGATTTTGTTTTATTTTATTAATAATACTTAGTTCAATTAAAGCTTGAAATAATCTTATAAAATCACCATCTGGGTCAGATATTAAATGAGTATTGCATACCAACACTATCTGATTACGGTTAATTGTCAAATTTAAAGCTACGACCTATAAAATATTTTAAAAAAAATGTTAATTTATTTTTTCCAAATAAATTATTAGTAATAATTTTACAATATAAAATAACTATAATAAGCATAGCTTTATCTTTTTAAAAATTATATAAAACATTTATTTTGCAGTTTTACATTTAATAATAATATTTATATACATATAATCACTAACTTGAAAAACAGTATTTTTTTCTAATCCTTGTTTCCATGTTATATCATCCATAATTTCTTTTATAATAGGTCCACAATATATTTCTAAAGTAGTCAGATCGTTCAAACAAATATTAAATTGTTCTAATAAACTAAAATATATTTAGATTAATTTAAAAATATTGAAATATTATTAAACAAACAAATGAATAATAAAAATACTAGTTTTTATAATACTAGAATACTGTACAACATACCTAAATGTATCGGAATAAAAACAACACAATCCTTCATTCCTATGGTCATTCTTCTTCAAAAATAATTTAGTCATTTGTCCGTGTGACTTTAATATACGATATAAATCTCTATCAAAAAAGACTTTATCCACTTCTTGCAGACAAATAATATCTCCATTGTATGCTTCAAATAATTAATTAATTACACATAAAATAAATTATTTACATCATATTACTTAAGTACCTTGAAGTTCTGTCATTACAAGAGGGTTCCGATAACTGGATGCCAAAATTTCTTTTGGACAATATGGATACATTGTATCTTTTGCTTCTTTAGTTTTTGTATATTCTCCAGCTAGTAAATTGTATGATACAACTCTAATACTACAATATATAAATTGCAAATAAACAAAGTTAGTTATTTTAAAAGAATTAATACTTATTAACATATTGATCTGGTTTTAGATAAAATATGTATAAATATACATAGTTAATTCATCTCACCTATTATACGGCTTAGTTTTTATTCTTTTTTCAAATGGATAGATTTTAATGGTATTTTCTAAGACTGTTGAAAATATTACTTCTCTTGTAGGTCCAAATAACCAATTGTCCCCATTGAAAGGTGTAACCGTCAATTTTAGACGACAATTAACATCCTCGGCAGTAGGTATATACGTCATTCCATAGCTTACTACAATTTCTTGTTTTGAATCAATTCTATACCACGAATAGCTTAAATAAATGTGATCAAGTTCTTGATGAAATGTATAAGGATATATCATTAGTCCTTGATATAGAGGAGTTCTCAATTTAAGATCATTGATTATTGGTGCATCAACTATTACTTCATACGTATGATCTTTAATGTGAAGGGTAACATAATTATTACCCTTAAATATTTGATAACATTTAGAAGTACATGGTACTTTGATTCCTTTTTTTTTTATTTCTATAAAATGTTTCTTAAGCATTTTATCATCGCTAACATTACGTTGAGTTTTTGATAATTTTAAAAAAAGTCTGTCAATAAATACTTGTATTGTATCTTCTGAATTTCGACACAAGTTTATTCTTTTTAATTTGTTATATGGAGATAACAGTGCTACTATGATTTTTTGTTCCGTCTCACTCGTTGGAGTCAAAAAGTTAACAAACATAGAATTTTCCCATAACAATAATTTAGAAGAAGACATATTTCTTTTAGTGCAATAGACAAGCTTGAATAAGTTGTTAAAATATTTCATATGATTTTCTAGAAAAAGATAATAAATCCATAATTATATTATTTATTTTTATGTACAATTCAAACATATTTTATGTTTTGTTTTGAGATCTAGAAAGACTTTAAATACAATAATTAGAGCAAACAGTGATATGAAGCGAATGATACTTTATAATAATTTATAAATATTTGGAAATCTAGGGTTGTTGGGATTATGTAATAATAAAAAAAAAAAAAGTAAATGAAGTAGTAGATTGTTAATAAATGAATATGTACAAAATTATGTATCCACTTAAATATCTAATTAACAATAAAAATAGCTCTCATAGCTCACAAACATACAAAAACTATACACATGTACAACAAAGTTCGTCAAAATATGTAAAAAAAAAAACTAATTGGAGAAAAAATATACCTATATAATAGAAAAAACTGTTTAATAATAAGAAACATGTGTTATAGTACTGCTCAGATGATTAGACTTATGTACTTAAACACTGAAGTATGAAATTCATTAGCAAGTAGTAGGTATTAGTAAGCAATTTTAAAAGTTTTAAACTAATTACTAAAATAATAAAAAATGACGTGTATACTTACATTGGATACTTGATTTTAAATATAATCTTCGTTACTAATTAACAGTAGAAAAATGTATTATATTTTCCTTTCTTAAATGTTTAACGAGGTTAGGTTAGTTTAAAGTAATGGTAAAACGTTAGGCAAACCAGTGAGAGTAACTTAAACGTTGAGCAAAACTAACATGGCTGATGTACAATAAAAAAAGATTTCGAAAACTGAACAAAACGAAGATATTGGCGAAACCACAGAAGGTTATCACGATTTACGACTCGATGAGCCTGTGGCACTACAGAAAAACCGGCACTGGAGATACACAATGAATGATAGGTCTGTACTCTGCATAGTTGATAACATTAACAAAATGATAACGACGGTCGTTTCATCTATAGACATAGTTAATATGTCAGAATTATGTCTATGGTTTCATCGAATTCGCGCGGGCTCACGGCCCAAACATTTCCCGATTTCCCTAGCTTGTAGATAACATGGCAACAATTTATTTAATATCTATAACTAGCAACGGTGAAACTCGCTGTAAGTGAATACCCTAGGTCGGTAAAATTCGCTGTATGTGAATAACCTCTGATTTGGTGGCTCTACACTTTGGCGGTATCGTTTTAAACGCGTAAATAATAAAAGTTCAATTCGAGCGTCTAGTGGTCGGTCATTTCATTATATTCACATGTGTAATACACCTTGTCCCGTAGCTTGTTACGAAAATAGCAATTGAGTGTCTAGGTATCAGTCATCACCCGGAACGGTAAATTGGATGCATTTACCGTGGCTTGCCCGGTGCTTTTGAGTATGAAAAATAAATAAATACACTCCGAAACGGTGATTAAGTGTCTAGTTATCAGTCATCGCCCAATGAATATCGATACCTGACAGGGCAATCTGCCTACGGCGAATTGTTATACCTCCTGACGTCGAAGGCGTTATGTTGTTCAGTACGTAAAAAAATTCAAGTCGAATAGAGTGCTCAATTTTCAAGTTATCACCATTGAAAATCCAGTTAAACGCGTTTAAACCTCCCAGGTAGACGATCCCACTGCGTCGGATCGCTGACGATGTGGGCGCAAAGGGAAGATTTTAAACGTATTAATGAAAATACATGTCAAACGTTAGCGAGTCGTGGTAAATAGTGAGTCGAAGATCAAAAACCTATATATATTTAATAATTTTTTTAGATAATTAACAAAATATTTAAAAATTAAAAAAAAAAAATCCGAATACGTGGTCAGTTATTATGCAGCCCGGATTTCGCCGGAACGGGTTTCGAATCTGCCTACCTAACGTCGGGGGACCTATCCTAACACCTATCGACTACAGTTTGAGTTGTAATCAACGACCAAATCTCGAGTACTTAAACCGTTTTAGAGATTCGATGAATACTACATTATACGTCGTTTAACCGATACAATTTTTACGATTCGCGTGTCACGAAACCGTAAATCGCATATTTATTGTCGTTTAGAGTGTTTCTGACGTATTCGTTTACATTATTTAATCGTATACGTCTTAATGACGTACCGAGTTTATTATCACAGACACATTTCACGATATCGCCCCAAATGTATGCGATTAAAGGCATTACAACGACTGAAGAGCAACGATTTTTCGATGTTTTTGTATAATACAAATAAGAATCTGTTAAACCTGACGCGCGTTTCTTTTTATACACATAATAAAATAAATCGTATTTCGTACGCTGTCGAGACAATACCGATGAGGTCGCGGAGGCGTCCGAGGGTTGAGACACCGAAAACAAAACGACGCGTATTCGATACGGATAAATGATTTAACGTATCGTAAAAAAAAAAACAGTAGTGACGATACGATGACCGACCGGAGAACGCGCCGCGAGTACGCGTTTTCAGGACGCGATGGCGACGGCCGCGAACGGAATTCGGGGACGCACGGACGGGACGAAAAAGACCCGCTCCGGAATATAGCGTCGAGAACGCGACGGAAAGAGGTCTCGAAAGGCCGGAAAACCGTGCGAAAAGCGGAAAAAACGGTATATAAAAACAATAATAATAAGTATTAAATATTAAATAATAATTAATAACTAATAACGACCGATAACGACGACGGCGGGTGATAACGATAACGACGACGGCGGGAGATATCGTATAAGGACTGGAAAAAAAAATTTTAATTTTTCGATTGGTCGAGACACTAAACCTATCGGCCCGTGTAGCAACTATTCTTCGTTTTATATTATAAGAAGAAGAAGAAGAAGATTAAACTCGCAGCACGTAATAAAATAACGTGTCATAAAGATATTAATCTACCCTGCGCACTTGTTGAAGACACAGATCTTTCTGATATTTTGGATAATATTCCTTCAGTAAGACCCAATAATTTGGAGGATAATGCACAAACTGTTAGTTCATTAATCGATAATATTCGCCAAGTGAAACGTACTTCAGGTATGAATATTTGAAATTAAAATTGTATAAAACAATTATAATTAATATAAATACTTATCTACTAATCTTATATTTTTATATAAAAGAATTGAAAATGGATTTAACTATCAATGAAGAAAAAGATGAAGATGATGAAATAAGTCAAGCCATTACACAAATTCACCAGCAGTCTGAAAAACTTTTTAAAAGAATTAAAGATGTTCAAGTTGGTTTTAATGAATGTATAAGTTCAACAGACAGTCCAGAAAACCGAGAGTATTTAAAAGAACATTTAAAAATAGTAGAAAAAACTTGTGAATTTGATAGAGGTATAGAATCAGTGTTTCGTTGCAACAAAGATACATTAGAAAAACATATTGACAAAAGCTTGAAAATTGAAAATATTGAAGAATTTAAAAAGTAAGTATAATATGTAATTATTTTATAAAGAATTATATTAATCAACATTTTATTTAACTATATTTTTGAAAAATGTATGATTATTTAGGATAATTTAAAAAATATAAAATATATTTGATATTATATAATATAATTTTTTTTATATTGTATACAATTTACTGAGAAATTTTGTAGAATATAAAATAATAGATTGTGTTAAAATAAGTGGCTGGGATGTAAGTCTTTTAAAAGTTGCATGTTATGTTTGTTAAAATATCTCATTTAATATATATATTACTTAAGTTGAGATAATTATCAGTTAATCGATTTCATTAACTATTTTTTTTTTTTTTTTTAAACTAAATATTTACAGTCTATACCAAAACATATTAAACAAATTTGATAAAAAACATCTAAGTACTTACACAAAAATAAAAATAATACATAAGTAGTAGTGAAAGTAGTGATTTTCCTAGAAAAATAACATCTAATGAATCAACCTTATTAACAACAGTTATTAATTATTAAGATTAATTTTTTATAAAATAAAGAGTTTCTAATGTTTTTTTTAAATTCAAACTTATTTATTTGGTTATCAAAGAGTAGTTATTGTGAGACTTGAATTTAATGTATTTCAGCAAGATGTAATTTTGTATGAAAATTTATTTATTTACTAAACTTATATAACTTTTATATTTAGTATAAATTTATATTTTAAAGTATAATTTCTTTACATGAATATTTTTGCATTTTTTTTTTCTATTATTTCTAAGAATTAAATCAAATTTAAAGTCTTCAACTATTTTTTTCAGTGCATACAATGAATTGGCCAAAGGGATATTATCTACTATTTATGACTCTGGTGCGAAAACATTTAAAAATCATGAACATTTATTAGCTATTAAACAATATAATAAATGTACTCGAGGAGGATTAGTTGAAGAAGATTTGGTAATTAGAACGTTAGATCCATTTACAAAACAACCAATCACCAAACCAGTACGGAACAAAATTTGCACTCATATATATGATCAAGAATCAGTCAATAAAATGTTCCAAAATAAACAGTTTATATCATGTCCATACATGGGATGTTCAAACAAACATTTTACAAAAGCTAATCTAGATCTTTCCATGATAAGTGATTAATTTGTGTTATTATTTTTAACTAATGGATTTAAAAAAAGTTGAGATTTGTTCAGTCAGTATGACTATGATAATAATTTATGATAATTACTTTTTACACTTTAATTTATTTATACATTGTACATATCTAATTTAAAAAATATAGATATATTGTACACAATCACAAAAAAAAAAAAAAAATTGTACATCTCATAAATGTAAATTTCATAATATTATATTTAATGATTTTAGTTAGCATTTTCTTTTGGTATTAAAAATTATTTAAATATATTATTATATTAAATATGTTGTTTTAAATTTTTATTTAATTAAAATTGTAAGTAAAAGTTCCAATCATACATCTTAAAATCACCAACATTTTTCTATTTGACAAAAAAAAAAAAGACCAGGTAATAATATGGATTAAATTAATAAATGGTAAATAGTTATAAAAATTTAAAAATAGTAATACTCAGATTAAAGTGCTATTAATAATAAAAATAAAAACATTTTAAGTGAAGCTTAGGTGCCCATACACATTATACAGTTTATAGAATTATATCTACCATAGTTAGTGTTGTGGAATGGGACAACAAAAGAAGAATTAGACCTGGCTAAATGAAAATATCTATTATTATAAAAAACACTTAAAGAGTTTTTTTTTTTTATATAAAAAAATTAAATTATAGCACATTTATTAATATTAAGTAGCATATCATTATGAATGCACCATTCATGAAAACAATTTAAATCTGATCGTAGAAGCATAATGTCTGATTTAAAATGAATAGTCTTAAAAATTTTTGCTTCATCAGTAAACAGTAATAAATTTGATCTTTTTTAGCTAAGGATACATCATATACAAAAATAAAAAAATAGAGTAGGTGATGGATTGGTCGCCTTGGGAAACACCGAAAGTAACTGAAATTGGATTAGACTATGAGTTGCTATATTTTACTATTTGAAATCAATTTCTTTTAAAGGAATTAAACCAAAATGATAGAGAGTTATTAACACCATAATCTTATAATTTTTTAATCAGCATGTTATACTTTGTCGAAGTCTTTCTCAAAGTCTGTATACACCACATCGGTTGGAGCATTAGGAAAAAGTAATCAATAATGTGTTGTTTGAAAATTGCTAGGTGAGCAAACTTATTGTTAATTATTTTACTAAATATTTTTGGAATAATTAAATTTTAGATATTGCGCATATAATTTGAAATAGACAAAAAAATAGCATTTTTTTATCTTCCGAGCAGAAGAAAATGTGCTCGATTCTAGGGATTTGTTAAACAGAATGTGTAGGGAGTAGGTTAATATGAATCGACAGTTATATAAAAATGTTGAAGAGATATACTTGGCCTGTTAAGGCTATTTCCACATATTGCATATAAATACTACTTGTTTTAAAATTTAATTCACATAAGGGTTTTAGTGTTCATTCATGGAGTGTGCCTTATTATAATAGATTTCATAAAGTTTTTTAACAAAATAAATGTCAAATTGTATTCAAATTGTTATTTACTTAAAATTTTGCTTTATCAAATAATGAAATTAAAAATGAATACAATAGGTTTTGTCTTTTGTATGTAACTTTCTGTGAATTGAAAACTGGGTATAGTTTTCAATAGATTAGTTTCACCAAACTAAAAATATTTCCGTAATAATCAGAAAAATTGTAGATAACACACACACTTATATATAAACATTTATTTAACATAACTTTTAAAATTATTTTTCTATTTAAATTTACTATTGGGCACAATTACAACCATTCAATATGCATTTAAACTTTTCCACACTCAAATTGTATTTTGTACAGTCCATATTAATTAATTCAGAATTAAAATCATCTAACCAATTTTCAAGTGATAAACTAACCCTTTCAAAATATTCACCAAACTCAAAAATCTTTTCTACATTTTCAAGTTTTGTAAACTATCTATATTGGTCATTAATTCGTTGTGTGGGGTATCATTGACATTTTCATATACAATAAAATAATTTGGTTTATTAATTAATTTAATACTTTAAGATAATTATATGATATTAATTAAGTAATTTTAACTTACAAATTTGTATTGATTGCAATAAATATTCTTCAGCCTGTTGAAAATTGGGAATACAAGATGTGTACAAATCACTCAAATAATCTAAAGATACAGCAAAATTAAAGTGGTTTTCCCCTAAAATTGATTTATAGATTTCAATTGCTTTTTTATGTACTTCTTCGGATAGCTGTAAACATATTAATAATCGTTTTCATAAGTATAAAAAATTCAATACTTTAAAAAGCAAAAATAATTTAAATATTACAAAATATTTTTCCTGATTCGTAAAATTAACTCCTATAGACATGTATGAATTTGCTGCAAGCAAAGAGTTTTCTCCAACTAATTGTATAATACTCTTTAAACCATTTGAATGAAAATAATGAGATTTTTGTAATAACCCACGCTTCCACAGTGCCAGTAATCCATCTATATCATTACTAAGATCTGAAACAATGTATTTTTATTCTTAAAACCATTACAAACCATTAACATATTTTAAATATCCAAAAAATGTTATATTAAAAATCCAACTGGTATAGTAATATCAAATTATTATAATAATTAAATAAATTCTTATAACTTAATTAAAATTGCTAACATGAGTGAGTATTAATAAAAAAAAATTTTAAAAACTAGCTGAATCATCAGTAGTTGACGGGTTTAAGCATAAAAATGTATGTAATCTGGCAAGATTAAATATTTCTGTAAGATTATTTAATATTTTGTTTCTATAAATAGGATTTTAATCTTATAAGTTTTGAATTAATTTCCAATTTTTAGCTTCACTTTGTTATAAGTTTTAAAATTTATAATACATTAAACAATACATTTGAACTTTACAATGTGTAAACTTATAAAAATCAAAAATTATATTTTTAACTCTGATACTTTCTGTAAAGAGAAAATATGATTCTTAGCAAAAATAATGTTAATAGTTTAATATGGCTCTAACTTCTAAATTACTATATTTTAAATGTTTTATAAATTAGATATTTGATGTTTTCATTTATTATTTTAAACTTACTCTTCTAAGGATATTACATGAAATAATAGATGTACAAACAATTAATGTGAATATTAAAATTGAACATCACTCACCTATTTGATCTGCTGTTTCTTCTAATATTTTTGCTTTTATCACATAAGCATTCTTTAACAACATATTGTCCTCTGGTACACCAATCGCGTTCATGATGAATATAGCTTGTAGTATGCATCGCCTGAGGTAGTTAAAAACGTTAAACAAATAATAATTTATCAATAAATTGTTTGTCTTACATAGATTCATTGTTTTTATCTACAAAATCACATATATCAAACTTAGAACAGACAAGTGCATATTCAACAAGAACCAATGCAGTATTTAAATTGTAGTAACCATATACATTTCGTGTGAAATCTAGTGTTCTCTAAAATGCAATATAACTATCTTAATTATTTTATTTTATCATAAGTATACAACAAACTATTCTTACATAATAACTTTTACTGGCATCATTTGTAGAACCTATTTCACTATAGTAAAATCCTTCATTCCGTAATATATCAATATAAATATTATCACGAATGTTTGTGGGTGTGTAAGTACTTAATTGACGTCTTAACTTTTTTACTATATTTAGTTTGTCTTTTATAGAAGCAACTTTAACGGCATGACTTAAAACCATAACTTTCAAGATTTTATTATCTTCTTGAAGTTCAAGGATAGCTTTAACTGCCCATGACCAAGTCTAAATTATCACATTCCATATTTAAATTTTAAATTAAATTCCCCAAAAATGTAACAAACCTCATCAAATTCCATTAATATTAGATGGTATTGCGAAACCGCTACATACGCGTATGATAAACATAATTTTCTTTCTACTATTTGTTCAATGACATTGATAGTGTAAAGCAAGTGTTGTAAAACTATTTTAGCATTATTAAAATTTTGAGATTTTGATGTAACCATTAACCACCTAGAAAAAAATATGTTTTTGTAAAATCAACTATTTTTTAAAAGTCAATCATTTGAAATTCAAAGTTTCTGTTACTTGGTAAGACATTCAATGGTTTTGAGAAGTCGTAAATTTTGGTCCTGACAAACCCATTTTGTAGTTATTATTTTATACGTGTGTTTTAAGACTAGGGCACTTTCATTGAACCAGCCAGCATCGCCAAAAAAATTTCCTATGTATCAATCATATTTTAATAAATTTTCAAAAATAAAAAAATTCTTTTACAAACCTAGTAGAAGACTTTTTTCTAAATGACGAAAACATAATTTGTTTTCATTGTCGTCTGATATTTTTGTTTTAATCCATTTTTGAGCAAAGTTTAATGGAAATTTAAATCCACGGATTAGTACACAAACCTGAAAAAAAATAATATGTTTTTAAGTGTCATTAATTATATAACTCTAAAGTTATTATCATTATAAATGACCAGTGTCCACTGTCCACTAACTGTTTCAATTTTTTGTTTTATTTAAAGAATACCTGTAATAAAGGAAACAGTCTGTCTCGCAGGTCTGGGATTTCAGCTAATTTAAAGAATAATTCTTGGTCAATTAAAGTAGGCCAAACAAATTGTCCATAACATTTAATCTAAAACAAAAAAATAAATAAATGATTAATGAGGATTAAATTTTATATCTAAACCAATGTTGATATATTACTATAAAAAAATTAATTGAGACTTAAATAATATATAATATTGTATATGTTATTTATAACAAGATAAGTTTAAATTTAAGCATAAAATAAACTGTATTATTTATTTTTTCTCATTTTACATACAAAATTTTTTAGTTGTTTAATTTATTGAGTTTTGTAAAAAAAGTCTTGTTGCTTATTTTTTTTTAATTTAAATATAAAGAAATACATTTTACTAAAAATTGATATAACATTAGCTATGAAAATACTTTATTTGTGTATATTCAAAAACGTTACGTTATTTAGCACAATATAAACCTTATATTTAAAGCCGATGTTTAACATGTTACTTGTGAAATAAAATACTTTTGTAATGTTGTAATGATTTTTTTTTTTTAAAGAAAGAAAGAAAGAACTTCTAAACGATCAATGGTATTGTGTGTTATACCTATCTATGTTATTTTTGCAATTTTTAGTATTTAAAAAACAGAATTCTTAGCAGTGTCTACTACAAAAAAATTATTTACATATATAAATATATTAAATTGACGAATGACAACTATTTTTAAACAATTTTAACTTAACCCAATCCTATGACAAATGTATAGGTTATATATTCTATATAAATATTTTGTAAAATATTCATAAACCATAGCATAGGATTAATATTAAACGATTTGACAACAATGATATTAAATTCATGTGTAATACTTTCTCGATTGAACTATCTTTATTATTGTTGTAAAATCTCTGTTAATTGAAAAACAAGTCCCATCAAATTAAATGTATTAATTGTATAAAATGAAGTTAATTCCGAAATTATATGAATTTGAAATTAAATATTTTATAAACCTACTCATAACATCTACCTATATATTTAGTTAGTACAGCATAATTTTACTTAATATTTTTTGTTGACTGATTTATTGACATAATATATTATTATTGTATCTTAAAATAGTGTATATATTTTTTTTTTTTTATGATGATTAAGTATCATACTGATCTAAACTATGTTTTATAAATAATGCAAAACTTATATAATTAGGTAGTATAAAGGAAATATATTAAAAATACTTCTTGAGTTTTTCCAAATTCTTCAAGTTTTTCAGTGGTTAACTCAAAACATGAATTAGTATATTCAATATGGTCTGAACGAATTTGAGCCATTTCACATCCTCTATCAACTGGACATTGTTCAAGTGGGTCATCTAATAACTATATTCAACAAAAGTCGAAATTTTAATTTTTGACAAAATATAATTTCATGTACAAAATTATTTCTAACCAGCCATAAGACATCTGCACAGATTTTTGGCGATGCTTGTTTTAACACATATCGCATTGTACTTTCGTCGATCGTTTCGCATAATTGATGTAATGATAGCTCGTAAAGCGACATAATTTAATATTTAAGATAGGTACTTTGAAATATCTAGAAAATAAAAATATTTCAACAAAATTGCAATAAAAGGCATAAATTTAGTTATAAATGGTGCAAAAATCATCAGTTTTTGTGTTAAAGCTTTGCAAAAAACGCGATTTTAATTATTCGAGTGAGCAAATGATTATGCTGGGTATAGCCAAATTCTGATCTCCTCGTTATTTTCAGTATATTTAAAAACATAGATACGTTAAAACAACCCAACTACTTAAAATACATAGGCTTCTGGAAAAAAAATTGAAAAATTCATGGGGCGCTTATAACTAGATTTGTTCCCAATGAAATTATAATGTGCATATATACGTATATAATATATACTAGCTGACCCCGTGTAATTTTTTTATTGTCTGGGCTTATGTTGCATCCCATTTTGTGCATGATTTTAAGAAAATATCTTTTTTTTCTGTTTGGAACAGACGACGCCGCAAGATTTGTTTTAGCAGTACATGTTCTTTTAGTACAGTGGGAATTGCAAAAAAAAAAAAAGTTGATATTTAAAATGTAACTAAATTTGTATAAGTTTGATTTGAAAAAACATATTGTATTTTTATATGTATTCGACCAACTTAGGACATATTATTAATACTATTATTGCTTAATAATTATTCTATGAATATAACAATGTAAAATTAATTTCATTAAATTGTATAATTATATATTGTTCTTCAATATTATTTAATATTTAATCTTTTAAATAAACATACTGTATTACAGTATTTAATGATTGACTCTATTCTCAAAATAATACTCTAAAGAAATATTATTAATAATATAATATAAGTAAAATAAAATCGCAACGCAACAAACTTGCTCATGATAGTCATTAACCAAGGCACCTCACCACGTAGTAACTTCTGGACTATAAATATCTTATCATAGAATGACACAATAACGTATAATTAAATCACCTTCAAAATAACGTACTGCCTAATAATATTGCGTGCGACCAATTTAAAAAGTTTTTTACTTCAACGGTCTGCAAAACAGTATCATTGAAATAATAAGCTAAAAATTCTTTTTCACGCAAATCCACATTAAATCATCTCAAGATTCTAACAGATACCCCTGACAACTATAGGAAGTTAATTAAATTTTTAAAAACCATCGAAGCCCAGCTTCACGCATGACAACTACAATCTGATTTAATCCTTAAGAGCTATAATCAGGAACTTACAACTTTCCACACCAGTAACTGACATTGCCTCAGCACTAGAAGAATAAAATTAGACTACTCTATTAAAAACGCCACTAACGTTAAACACCAACAAACAAAAATGTCTATGCCACTCTTCTTTGTTGATATAGACAACGAAAATAACACTAATGTCTTTGATATATCATGCCTTCTAGACAAAAAGTTAAAATCGAAGAATCCTATGAAATACTACAAATTCTACTATGTCAAAACTGCCAAACCTATGGTCATATACGTACATACTTCGCACACCGTCTTATGTGTGTTAAATGTGATGGCCAGTAACCACAATAAGAGAAAAAAATTAATTTAGTTACTCTAAAAATTAATATTCTTATTAAAAATTCATTCTAGCTATAGAAATCATTTTTGATTTTAATTAAATTGTTTATTTTAAAGAATATATTTAAGCGGTCTATTAAAAATTGTTCGTTACTTACAATAGAACTGTCAATTGTGTTAAGACAAGTATCTGATTGACTCAAAGACATAGTTGTTATGGAAGAAATGTTGCTTGTTTTCATTACAGTATTCTAAAAAATTAAAATTATTATAATTGGGAGAACTGGCGATGATAAAACATTAAGTATGATAAATTGAATTTTTAAAGTAATTTTAAGTAAATAAATAATTAGTTCAATAACAGTTATAACCAGAAAAAGAGGAAAAATTATTTTAACCTACAAGATTCAAAATTACTAAAATTTTTATTATTTAATATTATATTGTTACTATTGTTAGAATTACCACTTCTTTTAACATAGTAGTCTTTAAGATAGTTAATATTAAAATTTAAAGTTTTAGGTACTTATGTAACAACATGCCAAGTGTATTATAAAGTTAGTTGTCAATATTTTGTATGAATGTCATTAAGTAGAATTATATTAAATACCTTATAAACAGATTTCCTATTGAAGTCAAATTTAGTAGATGTATTTGTCACATTGAAGAGTGTTCGGATGACATTAAGCTGAAGTTTGATAATGCCATCTTGGCGATGCAACTCAAACTGACTTTTTTCAAAGTGGACCTAAATTAAAAAATATATACATTTTTATTAAGTACATAACTAAATACAATAAACTATAATATACTATGAAATAACATAATATTAACTATTATTTGATCAAAATATTACATTTTAATATTTATATTTTAGATATAATTACTTCACATAGTTCTGAATGAATTGTGGGTATCCACTTATCTCGCCTACAATTCTGAACTCATTTGTCCTTTCTGCTTTTTTCTCGTGGAAAACGGAACAATTTAATTTTGTTTTTCCGAGAATTACTACAGTTTGGAGCAGTACATCCTCCCATAATAATTAAATTTGGAGCTCAAATATATAAATACAAAATAAATAATGTACCTAGGTGAATAATAATTTTATATTATCTGAAAGAGATAAATATAAGCTGTGAATAAAATACAATTAACCACATGTACATAGATTAAATACAGAACAACGGTCAACGTAAAATAACATGAAATAAATAAAATATATATATAATTACAAATTTGTCCGCGTTTATTTTATGTGTTGAGTCACGAAATGACGGCATAGCATACCCATTATATTCTAGTGCCTTAATTGTATAAGGCAAATTTAGTAGGTTTCGTAATACAATTTATGTAGTGTCATTTATAATTATTTACGTTATTCGCTGAAAAGAAATTTAATTAGTTATATTATGCTCATTATATCTATTAGAAAGTGGATTTCGTATTTTCGTGTTTTGATTTTAACACTATATAAATGTGAACAGCGGTTGCGTACCTTACTGCTTTATTATACACAAAAAAATATCGCTCTGTCACAAATAACCGACCGGTCGTTTGGCTATCGAAATAATTCAATCCATATATTATATTATCTTTATATTCTGAATTTCTATATTTTGAAACAAAGTCAGACTGTTATAGGTCAACATTGGTTAAAACTCATAATAATACATCACCTGGGATCAACGTGCAGGCCAAATAGTTAATAAATAAGTACACGGTACACATACACCACTCGCGTAGGAGTAGCTGAGCGGCGAGCGCTGACCGTGAATGATGAAAACTGAATAAGATATAGGTACCTATAAATAATTTAATATTATCCCGTGTCTCATAATATCAAGATATTATTGTTTCGCAAGTGTGAAAAGGAAAACTGCATCACTGTTACTGCACATTTCCCATTCACCCGACCATGTTATCAGTAATAGTGCATAATATTTATTGTAAGATAACAGAGTTGTATTGACTATTGATCTGTTTATAAAATTTATTATTTATTTGTATTTTATTGATTCACTGTTCAGTTTGATACAAGCTACAAGCAAACGAAATCCGCTTAAAATTTTGTTCCAATCAATTATTATTCGTATTATGATTCATACAATAGCTATTTTATTTTAACCAATAAACCTGATTATTGTTGATACATTTATCTGTGTGAAATAATAAAAGTTTGCATTATTTTTTTTGTTATTTGCAATAACTAAGGAATTAAATTGTCTATTTGACTTTAAAATGGTAAGTAATTTTTTTGTTCTCTTTATTCTTTGTTTAGTTAGTCAACAAAAGATGTCACCTATCTACCCATTTCTGATATATTATAATTAATATGTAAATTAGTTAAAGTACCTGTTGTCTAATATACTATATTATTATGTTTAGAGTATTAAATATATTAGAAAAAAGTTTTGTAACAGTAACATATTACTTATAATTTTAGTACTATTTAATAAAAAGTATGATCCACACAGTGGCATAACCATTGTATGGGCAACTGAAGCAGTTGACTTGGGGCATAAACATTTTGGAGGTTCACAGCACTTTTTTACTCATAAAGAGTATGGTTTCTATTATTTTGGGTATGAAAAAAATATTATGCCTCTGGGTACTGTTCTGTGTATATTCAACACTAGATTCACAGAAATACTAGTAAATGTTTCGTGTATAAATAAATTTAATATTACATTAACATTTTTTTCATCTATTTAATTAGGTACTTAACTAAACGAATAACTTGGTTGTTTTAAACATGAAAAGTTTTCTTTACTCCAGTATAAACTCATCAACATTTAAATTTTTATAATTCAGAAATTTAATAATTGCTACCACTTTTAACTCATTTGGCTACATTTCTGAGAGTGAATAGCTTCAATAAGTTTTGTACTGAATTTCTGTACTCAATATAATAAATTTCATAAATGATTTAAATATTAAAATGTTTATTGCTGATCACCAATACTGGAATTTACAAAATTTTCATTGTGATTTTCTATTTAGCGAATAAATGTATGTTTGTTAATAGTTCTCTACTACTGTAGTTCTCATCCAGTTTGTCGTCGAGTAAGTCCAAATGTGTCGCATGAAGTACTAATATTAAATTACACAAAACTTTTTAAACAATTAATGAGAAAAAAAAAAGACTTCTTTATATTGTATTTGTGGGTTGTCTGGGTTAGTAAGCTGGTATCCTTCCAGTCTGGGCTCGAGTGTGTCACCATTTTTATGGAACTAAATTAGAGTGTTGTCACAAAAAAAAGGTTGAAAACCACTGTTTTACTGTATGATCCAGAATAGATCTATGTTTTTGGGGAGTAACTATGTAATTTAAAAATATATTTTTAATTATTACAGTGAAACAATTATTATTAATTTATTGGGAAATACTGATGTAAAACGTAATAATAATTATTTTTTTTTTTTGCTTACAGCTATTCTACTCATTTTTTAAAACACTTGTGGGATATGAAGTTGTAGTTGAACTAAAAAATGACATGTGGTAAGTAATTGATTTTTATTTTTAACTGGAGACTTCAAAAGTTTAAAATCAATTTATTTATAATTCTAAATGTTTGTATTTAGTGTCACTGGAATTTTGCATTCCGTTGATCAATTTTTAAATATCAAACTTACACAAATCTGTGTAAGTGATTCAGAAAAGTACCCATACATGGTAATTATTTTTAATTAAATAATAAAATATATAAATAAAAAGTATTATTCATATTTTTTTAGAACTATGTATCAGAAACTTTCATCAGAGGTTCAGTTGTTAGATATGTACAACTTCCAGCTAATTATGTTGATACACAATTGTTACAAGATGCTGCTCGCAAGGAAACTACTATTCGATAAATTTTCAACATTGAATTTGTCATTAGAATTTTGTTTGTAAAGAGTTAAAAGTGTTTTGATTTAATTTAACATAACTCTGTAAGAATCGCTTAAGTATTATTCATATAATTTAAGTTACAGAAATTCTTATACCTACCCTACAAAATATATTAATGCATTTTAACTTATTATTTTTATTGTCAGTCATACACTCATACATAACTTTTTTAATGAATATTTTTATAATTTCTTAAAAATATTGGCAGTATAGCATGCACAAAAGGACTAGAATGCTTTTTTTAGTAAAAATGATTTTCAGTTCTTTGTAAATTGTTTGAAATAAATATTTAGTGAAAGTAATAATGCATTTATTATCTTGGATTAAACTTTAAAATTAAGCATAAGTTATATATAATAAATAATTATTTTTAATTAAGTTCACTATAGAGATGAAAAATAGATATTAAAATGTAAACTATTAATCTCTTTTAGAGGTGAACATTAATTATTAATTATTTTCAGTGTATAAGTACTTATTGTTGAATTGAATTACTTAATTAATGTTTAATAAATATCTATACTCAGTTCCTAAAGAGACGCACCAGGTGGTAACCAGTTGTGCACATCTTTCTTATCACAGCATAAGTTGTTACCAGTGTTGGTTTAGCCCAGATAGCTACGAAGCGATCGCTTTAAGTTATAGTTGATTTAACGAGAACATATTTTTTTCTGGGTAAATAATAGTGGTATCAGATTAACACAATTTCAAAGTTGCTAAAATAGTTTGAAGACATATACTCTACACTATTGAAATCGTTGAACGAATAGAAGGAAAATTATTGTGAATATCACGTGCATATAGCATATGTAGCTATTTCAGAAAACTATTTTACACTAAACTAATTAGTTTAGGTTTGTTAATCTTTGAATGATTTTTAATTGTAGTTATTTAGGCTTGATCTTGGGAAATTATGGATATGCTTGAACTTCACAAGAACAGTGGACATGTGAAAATTGTGGTCATAAGTCATGCAATTAAGGTTGCTTCCCCTTTGAATAAATTTAACACAGCACATAAGTTGAAAAATCTATGAAATGTATTCAATGGAGAATTTAATGATAATGTTAGTATTCATTTATAAATTAATGAGGCATAATACTCGTTTGTTATACAACAGACAAATCCAAAATCATGCTTGTTTGACAGTTACCGTGTAAGAATTTTTTGTGGTTAACTTATTTTAATATAACTGTTGATGACTATATAATTTATTACATTTTAGGCTTCATTAAACTATATGCGAAATTAATTGGTTACTATAATTAATGTAAAGCATTGGTTATGGTCGAGCATTTATTTGTTTGCAATGAATTTAATAGTATGAATTGTAGAAATGATAAGTAATGATAACTACTTTTTTAATATGAAAATTTAACTTATGACTTTAAATTTAATAGAATCATATATATTATTAATAAGCATTACATACAGTGCCGCAACTAGAATTTCTTAGTTCTGTACCAACGATTGTTTTGGGCCCATTATGAGAAAAAAATTTAAAAAATAAGTATTTTATATTCTTCATTTTGTTACATGTATTTTCTACAATAGCAAATATTTGTATACATGTATATTTTCTTCAATAGAAAAAATAGTTAAATCCTGTGCTATTTATTTTCTTGACAAATTTAATAATGCTTCGATTAATATTTAATAATAATCAAGTATTTGTATAACTGTATTGAAATTAATATGAATTGGTTTCTTTCTATGACCTAATTACTTTAATTTTCATACATTATAGTTTAGATTTGACCGTAATATATTTTCTTAAAAGAAATAAATGAAAATTGAAATAAAAGAAAATTAATAAATTATGTTTACAAATCGAAATTATTTTATTGTACATTGTTTATAATCTGTACGAATTGTATTCTGAATTATAATAATTATTGCAGAACTGAACAATTATTATCTCTTCGGTTCGCGTCGATATTACTTCATCACCAGAACTTTGTCTACACATCGTAAGACAATCAACGACCATTTGTCACATCTCGCAGAAGTAATAAATATAATATATAAGTGATTCAATATATATTTTTATAATTCTATCTTGTGGTCAGCCTATTTATAAAAACGACTCATTTTATATTAAAATTAAAAATATAATATTCAACAATGAAAATATTATGAAATGCAATTTAAAGAATTTATGCGAACAATGTAAACGACGTAAAGGAATTATGTGTAGGAATTACCATTTAAAGAGTTCTCCATGCATTTTATTTGGTGGTTTAAAGTTTTATTTCAAAAACGCTCCTGTTATAATACTAAAACAAATGCAAAATATTGGATCGAATAATCTAGAGAGAGACATGAGAAACTACTTTGAACATCAATACTTCGAAAAATCTGACGCCACTCATGATCATTTTAAAAACGTTGATCTTAAAGACTGTTCTTTGATCACTAAGAATCTAAATGATTACGCTCTTTCGGGGCATAATTATTGGTTACGAGTCTTTTACATGGCTCTCGAAATCGAATATAAATCTTGTCACCCAGATCGATTTGAATTAGTTCAACGTTTAAACTTAATAACTAATAATGTTTTTAAAACATATCAGGATTATATAAATCGTGATAAAGATGACCAAAAAATTGATGAGTATAAATATACTCATATCTTAGTGGATATACCTTACATTAATTTAAATTTACAATTTGATGCTTTTTTTCGGTGTTTAAAAAATATATTGAACTTAATGTACACCAAATGTTTAATGACAGTTTAATAAGCATTGGTTATAGTCGATCATTTATTTGTTTGCAATGAATTTAATAGTATGCATAATGGTGTTAATGAATCTATTTAAGACAAAAAATTTTTCTTAATAATAAATAAATATTTGCCTCGCCACTGAACTGTTAAAAATTTTTTTCATACTACACAGGATGTCAATACTGTTTGGCAATAACAGATAATGTAGCAATTCTTATGGTCTTTATATTTAAAGTTAGGTTCAATTTTATTTCAATCTCTAAGATTGATATTATGATTCTACTGACACTAAAAGTATTGTAAAAAACAAATTCTATTATTAAATTGTATTAAACAAATATAAATTAGTCTTATAGTGATCACTAAGTACTGGAGTTGAATTATTCAAGTTTATTAGAAATGTTGTCATTGTAACTATTTCATGTCTTTTAAATATAAATAAAAGAATTATATATTTTAGAAGCTTATTTTATATTCATATCAATATTTAGAAATATTTTAGTAATTACTCTTAATGATTGTTATATAAGTTCTGGTATACATAATATTAAAACAAATTCATAATTGTAGACTTTTTTTTTGGATCAGAATTTCCGATTTATTCGGTTGTTTTCTTGTTAAAGAAAATTAAGGAAGTCAAAGCTGTGTATGTCAATAAAACCTTCTGTGATCAAAAACAAACCAATATACAGTTTTTCATATTGTAGAACATTTTTTTTTTATAATTTAATCATCAAAGTTGTTACAAAATGCAATTTAATTTCTAATTGATACATCAATATAAATGTATTATGTTTTCATAACTTAGTAATTCTTTCATTATAATATAAAACCAAAATCAAATATCATTTTTTTTTTTTAAAACAAATTTTACACATTATTATTTTAGTTTTTGTATTTTAATATACAGTTTAATGGGTCCTCTAGTGTCATTAATTTGGGTTTGTCTTTTAGGAGCTAGTTTATTTTGGTGCTTTATCGCACTTGTGTCTTTTTGAATATTGTACTAAGCTAATACAAATCAATATGCTCTAATTCTTCATTGAAAATCTAAATATTTGGTACATTTTTAAATGTATTTATCGTATTTGATATAACTGTTTTTTTTCCATGTAGGTAAATAATGACATTAATGTATATACATATTATTTTTAAGTATAATTTAAATTTATTTGAAATTCAATTATTAGTAATTAAATCTAATAAGATTTTCTAGTCGCTTAACGGTTGTATTTGTTAATCAGAAGCCCGATTGACCTTATCACAGACTGTGGTACTGATACCATATGATAAAGATAATAAAAAAAACCCTTCAATATCAGCAATAATCTAGCCCATAGATAGTTGGTCACGCAGTGTATACAAAAACGAAAACTCATTTTTAAATTATAATGTCTGGTCATTGTCAATTGTTGTGAAGTTTCCGCATAGTGCATACCCTGTCAACAGCACTGTCTGTTCTTTTGCATTTGGCGACTTGGCGTTGTTTTGTCGTCACTCGTCAGTCATCAGTGGTTTTTACTTTGTAATTTTTACTTCTGAGTCGTTTGACTACTGTTCGTTTCTATTATTGAAATATTACCTCTATTCAACTGCTATGACCACATTATTGGTGATCAAATCAGCTATGGCTGGTCTGGTGATCGGTCGTGGTGGAGCCACGGTCAAGAACATCGAACACGACAGTGGTGCGATGGTAAAGATAACCATGGGTGATACAGCGGACACGCGGAACGTGAAGATAATTGGCAGTGAAGACGCTCAGCGTTTAGCCAGTGGCATGATCGAAAAAATCGTTGGTAAGGTTTTGCGGTCGGAAACGATTTCTACTCCACCACTACCGCCCAGGCGACAAACACGTGATCGTGGCGTGGGTAGACTGCGACCAAACAAGCTGGAGACCTCACCGTTAGAGAAAATTTCTATTAGTGACGAAGCTTGGAATAAAAACGTCTCGGAAAAGAAGCAAGAGGACCACGAGATTTTACAGTCATTGCCGTCGATCATCAAAGACTTCTATGTGGAGCATGAGCAAGTAAAAGCCATGTCTGATGAAGAAGTGCAATCGTTTAGAACTGCTCAAAATGGTATTACTGTAAAGTACACAGATGGTGCTGAATGTCCACGACCAATACCGAAGCCAATAAAAACATTTCAGCATGCTTTTAGCTCACATCCAGATCTCATGAAGGTAATTAAAAAACAAAATTTTGCCACACCATCACCTATACAATGTCAAGCATGGCCGATAATCATGAGTGGACATGACTTGATAGCAATCGCCCAAACTGGTATGGACAAGACAGACAAGACATTGGCATATATACTACCAGCTTTAATTCATTTACTTAAACAACCTACTCCACGCAATGAACGCATTGGACCATCTGTGATGATATTGGGACCAACAAGAGAACATGTGCAACAAATCCACGATAAAATAACAAAATATTTACATAACAATATCAAAGTTACATGTGTGGTTTCAATACAAACCCATCAACAACTTATACAAGCTGAAAAACCAGATATTGTTGTAGCCACGCCAGGAAGGCTTAATGATTTGATCAGTATGCAAGCAATTCAACTTAAACATGTGTCTTATTTGGTTCTTGATGAATTGGACCGCATGTTAGAAATGGGTTTTAAAAATCAAATAGAATTGTCCCTTAGACATATGCATCCAAATAAACAAACTATTTTGACGAGCGCTACATGGCAAGTAGCTGTCCAAAAATTTGCCAGTTACTTCACAAAAAATCCTTTACATATTACAATCGATTCTCTGGATTTATCTACTGTGAATACGGTAACTCAAAAAATTATTGTACTAAATCAAAATCAAAAGGAAGCTTGGTTATATGACTTTATTAGCAACTCCCTCTCCAAGAATGATAAAGTCATAATATTTATGCATAAGAAAAATTTGGTTGATAAGATGTTTGAATATTTCAATAACAAAAATATAGAATGCAGGTAATACCAATTGAATGATAAATTCTTATGAATTAAATTTTGAAACTAGTCTTTTAATTTTTAGATGTATACATGGCGGACAGTTACAAGCTGATAGCGAAAGATCATTGGTTGACATGCGTAATGGTGTTGTATCCATTCTTATTGCTACAGATGTAGCATCCAGAGGAATAGATATTCATGGTATCGGTGTAGTTATTAACTATGATTTTCCTGTGAATATTAAAGAGTATATTTACAGAGTGAGTAGGACTGGTAGAGCAGGAAAAACGGGTTCAGCAATTACTTTGTTCACTAACTATGATAAATTCAATGCTGCTCCCCTTATTAGTGTTCTGGAAAAGTCTAAACAATCTATTCCACCGGAATTATACAAAATGGTTACTAAAAAACATCAAGTTAAATATTAAAGTTAATTACTGTTTTACGCTTCAATAATTATCTTGAATTATTATGATTAGTTTTTCATTTTTCATTTAAATTAATTATTACTAGGTATTATTTTTAATAAATATTCTCATTAGTTTTATATTTATCAATATTAATAATTTAATGATTTTAAAAATTATTATCTCATCAAATATTTTTTTTCTAAATTCAATAATATACAGTTATTTTTATTTCAAAATTTATTTTTAATTTTGTTTTAACATGAAAATAAAATAAAAATGATGAATATGGAGAATTGAACAGTGAAATAGGTAATATTAGTTGTTATAACTATTCAGTTTTTAAAATTAAAATTTCCATTTTTTATTTTATACAGATTACTAGATTGCTAATTTCTTTTTTTTACTTGGAATTGCATGTTGTGTTTTGTTCTACAACTTGTTAAAGAGAGATGTATGTGGGTTATTTATCATGTTTGTAGTCAATTAGATTAGAAATTTTCTTGGCTTGGAAGGTTGAATAGGGGATTAATTATGGATTTGAATACAACTTAAGTTTTAGGGGTAGAACACGATTCCGTACGGTCCTTATCAGCGTACGGAATCGTGTACATTTTAAGACACACGATTCTGTACGTTTTGTACCCAAGAGTTTAGTGCAATGTTGCCAGATTTGTCTATTTGACTTAGGCCGGGGCCACAGCGGCTTAACCGCCAAAAAATTTCAAAATTTTTGATTTTAAATGCAACCGCCTGATTACATTTTTAAAATTTTAAAATTTTTTTATATTTCATACGAATCGACTTAAAATATTTATTAAGTATTGTATAATTTTATCTTTTTATTATTATATAAATTTTATATTTTAAACGAATTAACTATAATTAATATTAAATAGCGACATATAAAATATTTATCAAGTATTATATAATTATTTTTTTTACATTTTTAAAATTTTAAAATTTTTTTTACACGAATTGGCAATATTAAATGGCAACATTGCACAGACAATCGTACGCAATCGTGTTGTTTTTGGGGCCTTTTTGACAATCTATTGTTTGAACAAAATCGTACGGAATCGTGTTCCCAAAAAGGTAAAACGTACGGAATCGTGCTTTACCGAGTTTTAGAACAGGTATTGGTAATGTTTCCTAAATTTTCACTAATTGTTTTATATGTAGTTTTGTTCTGGGTTACATTATGATTAGCATAGAATCAAATATGTGTTTTTTTTTATGTGGTGTATGTAGTAAATGGAAATTCATTGTAGAACTGGAGGTGATGGGATTGTTGTGTACTGCTTTACTGTTTTGTATACAGTATAGATCTTGTAATTTGCAAAATTGTCTTTTAAGTATTACACAAATAGTAGACGATATGTTATCTGGTCTTAGTTGTAATGTGATGGTTTTTACCACATTTTATAAATGTATTATAGTAGCAGTATCAGTTGACATGATTTCAAGATTAAGAACTGGCAAATATTTAGTATTTTTTTTTTTTTCATGTTAAGAATGTTATACCAAAAATATTATAGTTCCCATTGGGCTTGTGATCAACAAATAACAATGAGTTTTTTGTTAAGTTGTGTATAAGACTTTTGTGATAATCTGCTTTATTATATTTTAGAAAACATTTTGTTTTACTTAATTAAGATACATAATAATTATTTTTCTTCAAGTACAGATTCTATTGAGTAATAAGATAAAGAAACTGATATAAACCATTAATTCACAATTTAGAAAAAAATTTAATATTATTACAAATTTTTCTAAACTTCATTGTTTGTTACAGTTAAAATATATCACTTATTGATTATCACAAATTGCTTCAATAATATATTAATAAATTACTTGGAATTTTTATTTTAAGATAATGTCATATAATTTCATTATTAATTATTAAAAAAATTGCATTTTATGATTTTTTTTTAATTTAATAAACATTTTATTTTTAACCAATTGTATGACATACAATTATTTAAGTGTCAATGTTTAATTTTTTACATTATTCTTGTACTGTATACTATTTTAATAAAACAATATTATCAATTTATAGAAAACTGTATACACTTTTTTACATTACGCTGTACTAAATTGTCTTTATAGATCAAACTTTTTTAACTAGTAATAGTTATGATTAGTTTTAAATTGTTATAATTTTAATATTTTTCACTTTAAAATCCTGATCCTGGTTGAAATCAATTTTATTTCGTTATATAACACTTAATTAATAACCTTAAGTTTTTTTTGTATGCATATAAATTTATTAAAAAAATCCACATCGATTCAACATTATAGGAAATTAAATGGATTAAAGAAAAACACAAATAACATACAGCCCAAGTAGAAAAAAAATAGTACCTTACTTAAATGAATCACAGTTGAACACACAACTATTTTATGTTGAAAAAACAAATCACATTATATTTTTACCTTGCATAGTATAATAATTAAGTCAATAATAGTGAAAAATATGATGAATGAAGATTCAAGAAATAAACACCAAATACTAATAAAGATTGGATTAGACCTATGATTAAATATAAGCATAAAAAAATAAAATTTAAAATATAAGCAATCATTATTCATTCATTCATTCATTCATTCATAATTTCATAGTGAATTGATCATTATAAATTAAGAATATCGTTTAGGTTTTGTCTATAGTTATATAGTTTTTAGGTCAACATTAATAGGATAATGGCTATATTTTATAGTTTATAAAATTATATAACAATATAAAAGTGATGTTAAATAAAATATATTATGTTATGTACAAGTGAAAATTAAACATATATTTAATATATATGCATGTAATTGTGTATAATTGTTTATGATAACACATGGGAAATTTAATATTAAATTTATATTGCTTTGTTACGAGGCTCCTACGATTTGAGCGGTCAACCTCGATCACTACACTACCGAAAATAATACATACTAATAATTATTAAGAATTACCCAGGTGAAAAGGTGACCATACAAAACGTTATAAATATTTGAGCCGTACGCAAAGATTACATCATACAATTATCACGTTAATAAATGGCAAAAAACCAATTACACATTTATATTTATAAAATATATAAAATAATAAGAATTCAAGGAAATATTATCATATTTTATCAACGGCGTCGTGTTAACAAAAAATATGATAAATAAAGTCGTGATAAAAATAATAATAATAGTAATAACTAATATTCCAACAAGAACAAAAATCGTGATACAATTTGTATAATGTATAATGTGATATATAATAAAAGTTAATAATAGTTACCCGACTCCAGTTCCAATATACTGTTGATGAGGTCGGTGACGAATTGACGGCGACAGACAGGTCACTGGTTAGCTTTTTTTCAGATACGCTCCGACACCACAACAACGGGCAAATAATACATTGATAGTAATAATATTATGGTTGATAATCGACGGCACTCAAAACACTAAACAATCAAAATACGCCGACTGACCGTTACACTGTGGACTGAGAAGATCACAAAGCACAATGTATTAGTAAATCAATGATCTGATCGTGACGACAACGCATCGATATAGGTGTCCACGTAAAATGACGACTGCGAGACACAATAAATATATTTAAGTTTCACGTAATGCGGAAATCGCGAATCACCATATATGTATACGACTAGGAACGCGAGACGGCGTATGACACGATCAGTAAAAGGTACGATCGCATAACACTGAAAACCGATCTGACAGATGAAGGGTTTAATGCGACCCCGTACGGATTTATGCGTTGTACAAGAGACGAACCGAATGTGTGGCGGCAACGTGATGACGGACTGTTAAAAAGTAAGTGTCGCACAGGGAAATGATTTTCCGTCTCTTAAGTAACAATATCGCCGAAAATATTGTTCCGTATGACCGTTGACGCTAAATTAGGCGAAGTAGGGCAAATGAACGTACTTAATCTTTACAGTCCTTTTATATCTCTGTATATCTCATTGTGATGGCCGTTGATCAAACAATCGGAAAATTAATGCCAGGCAATTGAACTTTGGATATCACATTGTAGGGGCCGTTAACTCCAGGGAAGACGAATCACGGATAGGGCGATAATATATATATATGTATAAATTCGTTTCACCCGATAACTTACGCGAACATATATATTTAATAAGCAATTTATTTTGAACGATAAAACAGTCATGGAACATTTAAAATATTTTAAAAATGTTTCTTGAATATAATATTATAAACATCGTTCAATCATATTTTTAAATATCAAAAAAAAAAAAATAAAAAATATATTTCCTCTTAGAATTATGTCAAACATATTATGGTAGTAGCACTCAAAAAAGATCTGTAAATCAATTTAAGTATTGAATATTTTATCACCGCTGAGAAATACCTAAGTCATATAGGTATAATAATTATTATAAACTAATACCTACCAGTCAACTCGCGATATAAAGAAGTTCGTTTTAACGAAAATCTCGATATAACGAATAAAACTGTCGCCTGTCAGTCCCTTGAAAATGTCACGATATAACGAAACATTACATGTATTTTAGTTCCCTCGATATAACGAAGTTTTTTTGACCAAAACTCTCGCTATGTAACGAATTTTCACAATTTTGGAGCTTGATATTACGAATTTTACAAGTTTCGACTATGTACAATTATCATAGTACGATAGGATAAAATACATGACATGTTATTGTATGAGATACTATTATTAGTTATTACTAGATTGCTATTACGGTGTTTGTTTCGGCGATTATTATGCGATAAGATAAATCACTCTAGTACTCTACAACGTTTGGTCACATTTTAAAATTAGACAATACAATTTACCAAGTAAGCGCAAATAGCTATACACCAAAAAAAAAACCGATTTAAAAAATAAATAAATATGTCCTACGTAATAAAATAAAATTTAATAAACAATAATTCATATTATTTAATATGCATGTATATAATTATAATAATATGTAATTTAATAAAATATTAATTTTGAATATTTCTTTAAATCTTGTTAAAATGAATTTTATTAAATTATTCTTTCGATATACCGAATTTTTTCCTCGGTCCCTTGAAATTCGTTATATTGCGAGTTGACTGTATATATTTTTGATGGAAGAATTTGAAAAATAATTCAACTCAAATTTCAGTAAGCTAAAATATTTGTTATTTTTCAAGTTTTAAAAGTTAATAATTATTTTTGAATTTACAAATATAGTTAGAATATTGAGTATTGACGTACGCTCAAGTGATTTTAGAGTAAAATTTCAAATATTTTTTTATCTTTAACAAGTCTGAAATAGGTACATCAGTAACTGAGTATTTGGAGAATTTACCTTTTTGCCAAAAATAGAAGTATAATTTTTATCCACTTTCCAATAAAATATATTTTTGAATAAAATTAGTATAGAATAAAATATAATTTATTCTTTATACCTGTATTCTTATTGTATACGTCTTAGCCAAGTACATTTAAAATAATACTTAGAATTATTGAAATAAATAGCTACAAACACGAGAGAATGATAACATTGATAACACTGATAGGTAACATAGTAAATATTAATTCTTTGAAATTAACCAAAACTAAAATTTGTCCTTACCTAATTATTATTTGGTATATAAAATAATTTACACACAAGTATCTTATATTAAAGCAATCATCCGGTTTTAGTGCAAATTTGCGGAAATCGCTTTAGTTCGTTTGACATGTACATATTTATTGCTATAATAATATTACTCTTCTATTGTCTTTATATTTGAAATGCTTACGTCGCATCGCAGTCATCAACGTCGTATTTTGAGCCGACCTTCCCATGGGACTTAGTGCGACCAGACATATACCTACGGTGTGTTCCATGCACGTTTCTTTTCGTTACTTCTATTCGACTCCAAAATATATTTTAAAGAGAGTGAAGTGCGAAATTGTATCGCGGCCATTATATTTGTAATGCAGTCCATACCTATATATTATTATATTTATTATTACGTCCGCGATATATTTATATATATACAATGTGATCACGCTAAGAGGTACCACTAATATTTCAATACGATAACCTTGTATTGAAATGGAGTTTTCACTGAATGAAGGATAGTACTTAAATACACATTTATTTATGATTTTCAAATTTTTAACACTTTTGGTGTGCGCATGCGCAATACAACTTACATTTTTTTAAATGGAAACACTATTTTTTTTTACATATTCGGATAGATTATTTTTTTCAAACATTTCTATTTTTAAAACTGATAAAGTTGGAGAAGTCAACATTTGAGTTAGTGCATAATTTGTATGTAACGAAATGTTCACTTATAACTACAAGAAATAAAAAAAAATAGTGCCAAATTAATACTTAATTTACCTTATTTGTTTATAAATAATAATTTAATAATATCGTACGTCGTTCTAATGGATATTCCGGGTATGTGATATAATTTTTGTTTAGTTAACTGCTATAATACGATTATTATTTTAACTATTTTTATAGTGGAATTTTATTTTATTACCGGCAATGTGTTGAAACCAGTATTATATAGAAATCTTGGGTATTTTATAGATATAGAATATCAAAAATGAGCTGGAAAAGTATCTATAATTAATATAAAACTTAGATTTGTACCTAATGTATTTTTGTAATCAATGATTAATGTTTATCTTTACGATTATTCTATCGCATACAACACGTGTGCGATGTACCTATTATCGTTATTATAAGCTAATCATATACATAATCATGTTATTTGTGTATACGGGGAAATTTAATATAAAAAGTCTTCAAAAATATTATTTTCACTATTATAAAAGTGTTTGTCGTATTACAATTTACATTATACATTAAAATGTTTGAACGATTTTATATTGAACTAAAAAAAGTCGAAAAATACTATTATTTTATCCAATAAAAAACATCAACAAATATTACATGAATTACTGCTGCTTAAAGATGATAAAAAGAAAAAGAAAACATAGCATGATTACTGGATACTTCAAAGGTATTTTTTATTTTTATTTTTAATAACTCTATAATTTATTTGCCAAACATTAAAACGTAATCCATATTAATATACATATATTTATTTATACAGAATGTATAATGTATACTTTGATGTATACATAAATTCTACAAACAAAAGAAAATATTTTTAATGATACTATAATTTTTATTACATGGAATTTGGGGGTAATACACACAAAATATATTGGCATTTATCATAAATGATATGTAAACATTTTTTACCGATTTCCATCAATGTGCGTCCTATTTCATTTTAAAATAATTTGTAATCATTGAATGAAAAAAAAATAGCCTAGAAGACGATATATTTAATTAATGAGCGACAACGATTTTTGTAAAAAAGATGATGTTTGAAATAAAATTATTATGTAATTATTTCTGTTTAACATAATCTTTTATATTATTTCGTTTGATATTTTGAATTTTGAAGTACAAAATAATTATTGAGATTTTCTACAATGGAAAACCCGTGTGATCTTTCACATCAAGTACTCGTAGAATAATACATATGCAAAAAAGCAATTTATTTCATGTAACATTGCGACATGTTTTATCTGATCGTCAGTCTTCCAAAAAAATTAATTGTTTTAAAGTTATTATTTCCTACAAGTTATTAGCTAAATATCAATTTCACTTTGAAAATTTAAATGTAAAATAAAATATAAAGAAATACCGAACAATAATGAATTTGGATATTTCGTGTATTGTGTTAATATCTCTTTAAAACGTTTAGTAGAAAATTAATAGAAATCTATGGCATACGGATGTAGCGCCAGACTGGTGGTTAATCGTTTGTTTTCGGCGCCGGCACTTACAAGAAAAATTGTCTACTAATTGTCTACACCGTTAATTAATTCTATTACTATTTCGTAAATTATTAAATTCCCATGATATGCTTTTGAAAAACTGAGCATGGCTCACTAAAATTAATATACAATTATAAATTATATACATATATTATTGTAATGTATGACACCATGTCAAAACATTGTTTAGGGTAGTAGGTAAAGAAACATATTTAATTTATAACGGTTGAAACTTTATTTAAACAAAACATGAAAACGTGAAACATAATGATGCTATTTCCAAAGCAATGGGCACAAGGAAGGAAATAAATCATAGTATATCTAAGATATCTAAAACATGATTGCACGTAGCTTATCAATAGTATATATCCGACGTCAGGGACGTCGTATATATTACAATTATAATAGTTAAATCGTAGTTACTCCATACAACCAATAACAAAATCAAAGGTGTAATTAGTACTACACACAAGCTGTGCAATGTGGATAAATTATATTATCTAAAATAGCTACTCCATATTTAATAAATGTACAGATTATTTTATAAAATTCCTTATTATAAATGGAAACACTTAATATAACATTTTCAGAATAAGTAAATATATAATATTTTAATGGTATATAATACACCTTAAGAACTAAACGAAATTTACTTAATACATACAACATGTACAGTTGTTTATAATCTACCTGTATATTATCCAAGTCATACTTATTGATTTTTTTTTATTCTCAAAAAACTTTGTTAAATTAATATTAATGAAATTTGTATTTACAAGAATGGGTGTCTTTATACATATCAATTTTTTGTCGTCATTATCGCTATTTACATATTCATGATTATTTTTGGAATTATCGTTACTGGCAATTAAATTTAAATATCCAATTAGTTCAAATAAAAGATGATTCGATTTACATTTGTGTAGGAGAACCGTGTATAAAATCCGTAGCCAATAACCAACAACCACATATGTGCGATTTAAAAAGTGTAAAGAAAATAGTGGTAATTTTGTATTTGTGTGTATTCATTATCAGTAATGATGTCTGTTGTTGTAACACTATTAATATGTAATTATGAAAAACCATCGGATGATTTCTGTTTTAGTACATTTTAATGTTGGCTGTCTGGGGGTAAATTTTTTGGAGAACGACGAACGTGAACAGTAACCAGAGTAGCATCGACCAAGACCAGTAGTAAAGCAGTCATCCATCGCGAAGACACGTTCAAACCACAAGACACTGTCCAGCTCAAGTCATGAGATCTATTGCTTTCGGTTTACGACCATATACATGATTTGTTAAATCAAAGTGTATTGCAATACCTTAAAGTGTTTTATTTTATACCGAATATAATTGTTGACATCATAGACAGCAGCTACTGTTAAGTTGACGGTATTTTGGAAACCAATCGTGAGTATTAACTACTTGCATTTAGCCATTTTTATACGCGTATCAAAATTTATAAACACAGGCACATAATCATTACGGGTAGTCTTTTATTTTTTAAATGCCCATTCTTTAAGTATTATTTAATATTTTATCGTTAACTCTATATGTTATTTATCTTTAAGAAGTTAAAATCACTCATTGACTATCACATGACCGCCGGCGGTCATTCAATAGAATAGATATTAGTATACGTCATAATTTTCAATGTTTTTTCAAATTTATAAATACTATATATTTGGAAAAATTGAAAAAAATATATAACCTACCTATTTCAAAAAAATTGTAATTGTTATCGCTACTCCACGCTCATTATTTTGTTGCATTTTTGTAGTGCCTAAGAAATGTTAATAATATAAAACAAAATCCATTTATGGTCGCCGGTGGTCTTATGGCAGTCGAAATGTGATTTAAAATTTTTTTTTGAAGTTTTTGCCTATTGTTTTTTTTTTGTATGAGAATGATTAGAAAATAAACTTAAGTATCCCAGTTATAGATTCATCTACTACCCATAATTATTTTAATTAAATATTTGTGGAAGTGATAAGTAATGATAACTACTTTTTTAATATGAAAATTTAACTTATGACTTTAAATTTAATAGAATCATATATATTATTAATAAGCATTACATACAGTGCCGCAACTAGAATTTCTTAGTTCTGTACCAACGATTGTTTTGGGCCCATTAAAAGAAAAAAAATTTAAAAAATAAGTATTTTATATTCTTCATTTTGTTACATGTATTTTCTACAATAGCAAATATTTGTATACATGTATATTTTCTTCAATAGAAAAAATAGTTAAATCCTGTGCTATTTATTTTCTTGACAAATTTAATAATGCTTCGATTAATATTTAATAATAATCAAGTATTTGTATAACTGTATTGAAATTAATATGAATTGGTTTCTTTCTATGACACAATTGCTTTAAGTTTCATACATTATAGTTTACATTTGACCGTAATATATTTTCTTAAAAGAAATAAATGAAAATTGAAATAAAAGAAAATTAATATATTATATTTACAAATCGAAATTATTTTATTGTACATTGTTTATAATCAGTACGAATTGTATTCTGAATTATAATAATTATTGCAGAACTGAACAATTATTACCTCTTCGGTTCGCGTCGATATTACTTCATCACCAGAACTTTGTCTACACAGCGTAAGACAATCAACGACCATTTGTCACATCTCGCAGAAGTAATAAATATAATATATAAGTGATTCAATATATATTTTTATAATTCTATCTTGTGGTCAGCCTATTTATAAAAACGACTCATTTTATATTAAAATTAAAAATATAATATTCAACAATGAAAATATTATGAAATGCAATTTAAAGAATTTATGCGAACAATGTAAACGACGTAAAGGAATTATGTGTAGGAATTACCATTTAAAGAGTTCTCCATGCATTTTATTTGGTGGTTTAAAGTTTTATTTCAAAAACGCTCCTGTTATAATACTAAAACAAATGCAAAATATTGGATCGAATAATCTAGAGAGAGACATGAGAAACTACTTTGAACATCAATACTTCGAAAAATCTGACGCCACTCATGATCATTTTAAAAACGTTGATCTTAAAGACTGTTCTTTGATCACTAAGAATCTAAATGATTACGCTCTTTCGGGGCATAATTATTGGTTACGAGTCTTTTACATGGCTCTCGAAATCGAATATAAATCTTGTCACCCAGATCGATTTGAATTAGTTCAACGTTTAAACTTAATAACTAATAATGTTTTTAAAACATATCAGGATTATATAAATCGTGATAAAGATGACCAAAAAATTGATGAGTATAAATATACTCATATCTTAGTGGATATACCTTACATTAATTTAAATTTACAATTTGATGCTTTTTTTCGGTGTTTAAAAAATATATTGAACTTAATGTACACCAAATGTTTAATGACAGTTTAATAAGCATTGGTTATAGTCGATCATTTATTTGTTTGCAATGAATTTAATAGTATGCATAATGGTGTTAATGAATCTATTTAAGACAAAAAATTTTTCTTAATAATAAATAAATATTTGCCTCGCCACTGAACTGTTAAAAATTTTTTTCATACTACACAGGATGTCAATACTGTTTGGCAATAACAGATAATGTAGCAATTCTTATGGTCTTTATATTTAAAGTTAGGTTCAATTTTATTTCAATCTCTAAGATTGATATTATGATTCTACTGACACTAAAAGTATTGTAAAAAACAAATTCTATTATTAAATTGTATTAAACAAATATAAATTAGTCTTATAGTGATCACTAAGTACTGGAGTTGAATTATTCAAGTTTATTAGAAATGTTGTCATTGTAACTATTTCATGTCTTTTAAATATAAATAAAAGAATTATATATTTTAGAAGCTTATTTTATATTCATATCAATATTTAGAAATATTTTAGTAATTACTCTTAATGATTGTTATATAAGTTCTGGTATACATAATATTAAAACAAATTCATAATTGTAGACTTTTTTTTTGGATCAGAATTTCCGATTTATTCGGTTGTTTTCTTGTTAAAGAAAATTAAGGAAGTCAAAGCTGTGTATGTCAATAAAACCTTCTGTGATCAAAAACAAACCAATATACAGTTTTTCATATTGTAGAACATTTTTTTTTTATAATTTAATCATCAAAGTTGTTACAAAATGCAATTTAATTTCTAATTGATACATCAATATAAATGTATTATGTTTTCATAACTTAGTAATTCTTTCATTATAATATAAAACCAAAATCAAATATCATTTTTTTTTTTTAAAACAAATTTTACACATTATTATTTTAGTTTTTGTATTTTAATATACAGTTTAATGGGTCCTCAGTAGTCTAGTGTCAGCGCTCTAGAGTTATACTCCAGTAACTTATCTATTCAGCACTATACAGTATACACAATAGGTATATCACTAATCTAAAACATAATTGAATTTTTTATCAAATTATTGAGATTGTTAAAATTTTAAAAGTAAATTTTTATATAACAAATGCTTAGACTATGAAAAATAACATTTTAAATTGCAAGAATATAGAATTAAATACTGTTTCTAGACTTTAAGTAACTTACTGAATTCTATGATGTGTTAATAGTTTAATAATTATATCAATTGTGCTTTCATTCTTTGTAAAAATTACCGAAAGCATATAGGTAACTATTATTGACTACTCATTTACAAATATAGATAATTGTTCAATTTCTGGATAAACTGTACGTTTGATTGCTCGAGAGACTTATTTAAACAATTAATTTAAAGAGCTGTCTAGATGTAGTTTAGCCTTTCAGAAAAAAATATGCACTTTTATTTTGTTAATTTTTAATATTACAGTTATATTTGGATATTTTAAACTTAAATTGTATATATTGTGGTTTTAAAAATAAAAACATTGTTTGAGATTTTAATGGTGTAATTAATAAAGCATGTAAAATTTTTATGAAGCAGGATTATATGTTACAAAAAGCTGAGATTATACATTTAAGTTCCTTAACATTTAATTTATAATCAGTTATAACTTAGAAGAAACACTCTGTCTATCAAAAAATGTCTTCAATTTTTTAGTAACATATAGTCATTATCAGGGAAACTTTAGGGTAATATTTTAATTATTTTTCTCATTTCTTAACTGAATTTATTGTACTTATGATAATTATTCTCTATGTTTAAAGGAATTCGAAGAAATGGCTTTATAAATGATTAAGATTAAAAAATCATTGTTAATTAATGACCATCCTAAAGTTGCTCAATCCTTATTACATTTAGCTCATTTGTACTTAAAAAATTTTAACAAATTTTGAGAAGCCCTAGTACTTTTTTTGCAAACAAAAAATATTTGTAAGTTATTTTATTGTTTTAAAGTAAAAAGTATGTTACTAACCGAATTATTTTTAGTAGATGAAAGTATCGTGATGGTACTTATAAAGAAATTGTCTGGTGTAGCAGCTAGCAGGGTTGATAGAAATTTTCAAATGTAGCAATAATTTAACAATATTGAGAAGTATAATTATTTTATTAATGATTTAGAATGGCTGAATTTAACATTTTATGATTGATATATTAAGTTGTGTTCTATAACAACTAATGATAACTGTATAAAAGATGACTTAAGTTAGGAAAAGTTTTTATGCATATTGAATGAATGTAGTTGTAATAAAAATTAAATTAAAATAAAAAATAATTTGAAAAGTTACATCTAAAATAAAATATATATATATTTTTTTTAATAAAGTAGAAATATTTTTAATTTATTCAAACCTATTTGTGCGTAGATTTCTTCCAGTTACTAAAAATTTATAAAAAAGTTATTTGTATATCTATAAAAAATAAATGTGTTGCTTTTAAAATAATTATGTTTATACGTTTAAAAATAAAGTTTAACCACTTAATTTTGTATAATTTTAATATCTAATTCTATTATATTTAATCAAGTAAAATTATTAAATAATTAAGTAATTATTTGTTAAACAAAATATACAATTTAGTAATTATTGATTTTGTCATCAGTTCACTCATGTTTTCTATTATTGACAAACATGGTTAATAAAAATTAGGATTTATTGGTTTCTTTTTTTTTTGTTACAAGCTTTATAAATCCTACAGTTACACTACTTTACCTTAAAGACAAATTATTTTGATATTAATGATAATTTTAAATTATTATGATGTTTTTAAAATAATTTTAGTTTTTTAATACATATATTATATTATATTAAAATTATACAAAGATTGTTACCATGATTCAGGACTTTGAATAAAATCTATCATAGGCTAGAAAATTTGATAATGTTAAAAAAATATTACTTGAATTGATTTGTATTTAAATACTTACTAGAAAATACATTTAAATATCTCTTTGGAATACTTAAAATAAGTAGGTATTTTTAAAAAGTTAGTTACCAATAACATAATTTACAGATTGTTATATTGGTAAATTTATAAATATGTGTCCATAAAATGTTTAAGTGGTAAAAATGTATTATAATTATAAAATTATTATAAGTGTATAATAAAATTAATTTTGGATCTTACCTATATTTCAATATATTTCTTACTCTCTGTGCAAATAACTAGAACCTGATAAAAATCTGATTGTTGACAAACAAATAATAACTTTTTAGTAAACAAATTAAATTGTATAATAAATTTGTGGGCTTGTAGTCTTATTAAATGGCTTGGATTCCAAAGCGGTCTCATAAAAAAAATATTTAAAATTTCATACAATCTGTAATCCTAATATTATGTGTTTTTATTGTATTTACTAGATCTATGTTGAAGTGTTGAAGCCTTTATGGTTGTAGTGGCAAATGTAATAATAATGAATTTGTGGTACTGTTTTATTATTAAGCAAATAGCTCCATACATTTTATACATTAATGTGATCAGAGTAGGGCGTTATTCGAATGAAATTTTATTTAGATGATATTTTATTCGAATAAATTATTATTTGAATGATTTTTTCACGATTATTCGGATAATTTCAAAACGTTATTATTTGAGTAATTTTCGTTAATTTTGTTTGGGTAACCATAGGGTTGGTAATTAAAAACAGGCAAATAGTTGGCATTGTATGTATTTTAAATTACATAATAATGAAAATATTATAAAATATAGATATAAATCTATAGAAGAAAGTAAAGAATTTGATATATTTTTTTTAATAATAATTTAGTAATATTAAAATATGAATATTATTTCGTAATAATTACAACAATTATAAATAGTAGTAAATAGTAATAACAAAAATGTAAATAAATAATTTTGGCAAAAATGAAAATAAATAAATATAGCAAATTTTAAATTTCAATAAATAAAATTATTATTAAATTTTTAATAAATTATTAAAAAAATTAATTTAGTTTAATTTATCACAGTATAATTAATGCTATTATTAACTAGAAGACTTATAAATTATAATCTTATTACCATTATATGATACATATTTTGTACTACCTAGTATAATTTTTATTCAAATAATAACAGTTTGAAATTATCCGAATAATTTTTATTCAAATAATAACGTTTGGAAATTATCTGAATAATTTTTTATTCGAATAATAATGTGTGAAAATTATTCGAATACATTTTTATTCGAATATTTGTGAAAAATCCATTCTAATAATTTTTTATTCGAATATATATTTATTCGAATAGTTATCTAGATACTATTTTGCCCAACTCTGAATGTGATGTATCTAGGTATTATATTGTCTTTATTGAATATTTACTTTATGTTAGTGGCCATGTGTATAACATTGGTATTTTATAAAATATCTAGGAGCTTTATATTATAATACTAACTACAACCGGCAATCTATAAAATTGTTTAAGTTACCTAAGCAGTAAGCATTATTATATGAAATGCCAAACAATGTATAGGTTATGCATTAAATCCATGTAATCAGTATTAACATATGATAAATGTACCTTCACCTAATTCATTGCAATTCGAAATGTCATCTTAATTTATAGTGTTGTAATAAATTAATTTAACTACTTTTTATCAAGCTAAACATAGGTATTAAATATATTTTTATTTTTTTGTAATAATAGGATATTTTTAATAATAATAATTTAGTCTTAGCAAAATTTAAAAAAAAGTGTATTGTATTTTTTAATAATAATTAATAACTGTGTACTACCCATACAAATCACAAATTATTTTGTTTTTGTTTTATTTTTATGTATTATATTCTGTAATATTAAATAAGTACTTTGTAATAAGTATTTTTTTGTGTGCTAGGTTGGTGATTTCTTAATTTATGAAATGCCTAGTTATAATAAAAAATGTTTAGGAAATGTATGTAAAAAATAAAATATATTATACACTTTTCTAAAAATCAAAAGGTATTACATAGCATTTTATGTATTAAATATATTATTTAAACACATTGCTGCTAACATTTACAAAAATATAACAGTAAGCTATATAGTGGTGAGCGGTATTACAATCTTACTTTGAATATCATAGATATCCCAACCACCTAATGTTCAGATATTTTTAGTATTTTTTACATATGGGTGTTTTTATCAACTATGTTATAGATTCTAAGTGTTTATTATAAATTTTAAATTATTACGATGTTTTTGTAGTACAGGAATAAGTTATATATTATATATTAAAGTATTTTAATAGTATATAAAACTTAAATTTTAAATTTAATTTTGTAATATTTATTTAATTTTATTAAAAATAAAACAATTATTTTATGAAATCTAGATTTAATTATTTTAATTTTGGGAAATAAATAATAAGCTACAATAAAAATAATTTTTAACTTAGTATTAAATATTTATAGACTATAGTAAAAGAATAGATTTTTCATTTTTAATACATACAATATATTGTTTGAATCCTTACAATAATGTAATACTACAGTATTTATTCTTAATATTATTCTTCCATTATCAATATTAACAACCAATAAAAAAATAATATATAATAGCCAATAGGTAACAAAGGAACTCTGAATAATATATTAAATAAAATTTTATTTTTCAAGATCAATATAAAATTCAACAGAACTCTTCTCAGTGTTTGTGGGTTGAAATCAAATGCAATCATTGTAACTAAGGATGATTCTAACTTCAGTCGATAAATTATGAAAATGATTTTACCAAGTTCTATTATATTGGATTGTACTTTTAATTATTCCTTGTATTCTAACTTTTAAAAATATATTTTTGCTAAATATTTGTTTTAGTAAAACTATTCATTTTTTACTTTGCCATATTTTAAACCTTACATGTATAACAATTAGTGCTAAGAAATACAGAATGAATTTTTGTGCTATTAAATCACTTTTGTAGTATTGTTTATTTATCTTTCGTACCTCTTCTTGTCTATACAGACTTTTATTAAAAAGTAAGTAGATTATTTACACGAGTTTAATGATGACTTGATTACAAGTATATTTCATTATTTTAATATTCATTTATAAAGAAAAATAATTAAAAATGTCCACGTATAAAAATAATAAAAATTAGTTTATGAATCTGGTTTATTAGGTTTTAGTATAGAAATGTGAGGCTTCAGTATAAATCATAATACTATGCGTGATTTTAGACACCACAGTCTACAATAACAACATTAGGTACATCAACAATAACAATAATCAGCAAGTTTTTGTGATGGTATCAAATACTGTGGAGTATTAACCTATTATACTGGTAGCTTACTATAATACTGCGGTGTTAATTAACGTTTAAACACGAATCACAAAACTGACCAACAAAATAACATATAATTTATTTTATGTATTACCTATTCCTTATAATAAGTACCATAAATACTTGAAAATGAAAACGTTTTTGTAGTAAAGAATTATCAAATAAACTAGTTTATAGTTTGCTTTTGAGACTTCCGTCCTCTACAAAAACTCAAATGACTGGCAGAGTGCATGACTCAGAAGTACTTGCATAATAAATTAATAATATATATTATAATATTATAATACATAATTAATAATTATTATCTATGAAATTCCTCATCGCGTGATTACAATGGGACCAATCGGTTGGTAGGATTACGCGCGGAGTGGTGTTACCGATCGATAAGAAATAACTGCTACCACGATAATGAAAGTGATAATAGCGATCGCACACGTCTCCGTTGATGTAGTCAAATGCCTAGTGCCGTTTCGAACTCAAGTTAAATAAAATTATAATCGTTTTGATTCGTTCAATAGACATTCTTCGCAATACTGCGACTAAAAATCATACGTCTTTTTGATATCTTTCAAGTACTTCGTTGTCGAGACGGTGTGTTACCCAAGTGTCGTCTCGTTCCTCTGGCAGTACAACCGAATTTCGACGATCTCACGATAAGGCCAGAGTGCGTTGGGTTTATCGGAAAACAATAACGACAACGACGACGTGCGTATCATTTGGTCGAGTGCGGGTGTCGCCCATTCCCTCCTTTTCCAAGTTATCGGCAAATCGTGACGGAAGACATACGAGACAGACGACGCTGTTAAAAGGAAGCCGGAGGTAATGTTTTCGGTTTTTATATTTTCATTCAAAAATTTAAAATACATGCTAAACGGCACAAGACGTGTTGAAGTCCGTCATCTTACTCATTTTTAAAAACCTACCGACGTGTTAGTATTACGAAATCATTCCATCATTCAGACTTGGACATTGTTCTTGAGGTAACAGTAAGGACCACGTTGTTCTATGTTTAATGTATTTCTCTTAAAGAATTTTAAAATGTTTTATATTTCCATAGTGTACCATGGTTAGAAGGGTGATTAATTCATTGTAATTTTAGTATTTTAAAATTGTATGTTGGTAGGTATTATGTATTTATGTTGTACATCGTGAATATTCTTCATGGACAACTAATATTATAACATAACTTGTGATGTATATTGTACTATTTAATGTTTTTTTTTTTAAATTTAAGAACTCCAATGATATAAATCATCTTAAGATAAATAATTAAAACATGATTATAGTTTTAAAAAAAAATATTAAGTTCATACAAGTTTTTGTTTATATGACAAGCATATGCATAAATATTCTATTATTGTTTGTATTTTTTAAATATTACTCTACGTTCTATGTGAATGCTGTGGATTTTTGTGATTATTATAATACAAGTATTTTGACCATGCTGTTGTGCTACAGTGTAGCGTGTTCATTGCGGCTAAATACAATCTGTTATGTTTCCCTCATAGTCATCACTTTCACATAGGACATGCGTTAATCATGACTTAAACTTATAATGTATAAATAGTATATATAAGAAGTTAAAATCAAAAAAATTGAATTCAACTAGATTTTTACCAGATAAATAAATAATAAAATAGTTTTTAAATTGTAATTTATATTCTACATTATGTTATTAATTATTTTGGTATTTATAAGTTTTAAATGTTGTTCCTCTCATTATTAATATTATTAGCTTCACTATTAGTTATTTATTTTAGCTCTTACAACATTATTTAAATCATAAAAAGTTTTTAATTTCCCTATTAAATATATTAAAACAACCATTAAATATCAATGTTAAATGCACTTTTTTAAATGTCCTTTAAAATTTTGTTGGATATGTAGAAGATATTGGATAATATGCAACAATGGTTTGAACAAGACCAAACAAGCGCTAAAAATTCATCAGATATAAAGTTTCATTCAGTACCAAAATCATCGAACGAAATGGAAAAGTCAATACTTAAAACATTCACTGTTGAAGCTGAAACAATAACTGGACAATATATTTGTGTATCTGGTAATTGCTCAACCCTAGGCGATTGGGAAGTAAACAAGGCGTTTGTTCTGAGTAATACAAATGTGATACGTATAAGAAAAAAATAAGTTGATTATAATTATCAAAATACTGTTCTTAAATAATGATTATGTTAACATAGGTATAATATTTTAATCGGCTATCTAATTACCTTCAAATATCTGAAATGGTTAAATTTTCACTTCTACCCATAATTTTGATTGGATTTTCTTTATATTGAAAAATCTTAGAGTCAAATTTAACTTTGGGGGAAAAAAATATGTTAATACTTGTATTAAACATTAATCAAATTCCATATAATTATATTTAGTGAAATTATATATTTTTGAAAATATACTATACAGGTTTTTATTGATGATTTTTGAATTAGAAACTGGATAGATTTAAATTTTATTCTTGGAAATTTTCAAAATTTAATTTACTAAAATTAAAATCTTCCCCACATCATAATCAAATTTACTATTAATAGTACTTCAAACTCTATAACGAGACAATATTAGACCACGTTCAAAATAAAAATATAAGCAAATTTTTTCCATAGTATTGTAATGACTTGTTAATCAAGTAAATGAACTTAGATATATACTGATAAGTTTTCACTTATCTGCAAATAGCAGTGAATAATCAAAACATTTTTTTACTCTTTATATTATTTTATTTATTTTTTTATGAAGCATGATGTTTATAGTTCTACATTTAATATTAAACTATTACAGAACTACATCAAATCTTTTTAAATTTGATAAAAATACATTACAAGTAATAATTTTTAAATTATTACTGAAATTTAATTGTAATTAAGTATTTTTATTTTTTATAAATATGTAACATGTTTATTAATCATTAATTATGTTTGTTTATGTTAAATTATATATTATTTCTTATAATAAACAACCTATGTAATTTATTTTATTATTATAACTAATACAATTGAATTAATGTTATTTTTAGTCGAAAATACTGTATATGGACTGGGTCTGTACATTTGCCACCAGAAAAAGAAATATTTTTTCGTTATTTCATGGCATATATAGTAGAACCTGATGGTGAATTTGTGACACAAAAACATATATTTGTTCATTCATGGGAGTCTCAACCAGAACCTAGACGTGTACAAAATGGTATATTAATTATTTTGATAAAAGTAGTAAAATATAAAAAAATAATAAATATAATAATCTTAGAAACTCAAATATCAACCAGTGATTATGCACTACAGAGTGATATGTACGGTATGAATGATAAAAATAAAATAAGCAAAGGATTTTTGACTACAGAATGTGCTATTCAGTTTAAACTATTTGATACTCCTATTACATTTTGGAAATCTAATCTACAAAGTAAAATGGTATGTAAATTATTGTATAAAATAGATTAGTTTGAATACTAAGAATATTATTTATACTTTCTAGAATTTAGTTAGTGTAAAAATGACACCTGTACCTCTGTCTTCTAAACTGTCAGCTGATTCTGGGGACTCATCTCCTAACATAAGTAATGTTATACTTGAAGATTCAAGTTCACATGGAACTGATTATATTCAGAAACAATTTGGGTGGCCATATGTAGAATATGTGGTAAATATATTTTTTAAAGGATTTTGCAAAAGTTTACCATAAGTTGACTTATAAAACAGATTATACTTAAATATTTAGACTTTAATATTGGTAATTTTTCATAGTTAAATTAAAAAAAAAAAAAAAAATTGGATTAATTTGTACTTAAACTTTTAAGTATTCGACTATTTACTGAAATTGTTAAATAAGTATTAAAATCACTTAAAATAAAACTTTAAAGACACGATTAAGAATTGAAATTTATTAAATATATATATTACACTTTATGTTTACGAATTAATATATTTTAATATTGTAATTTTATTATTCTCTATACATTTTAAAGATTTTTGTTGTTTTTTAAAATTATGTGCGAAATTAACCTATATGGACATTTTTTGGTATGAGAATATTACTAAGAAATTTATTTAACAAACATTTGTATAATATGTAATTGTATAAATATGACATTTTTACTTCTTAATTATTGTTAGTCTTCAGCAGCTTTACATTTTTTAATAAATTAATACGGTATTTAAATAAATATATTTACATAATTAGTTTACTAATATTATTAATTTATGTGATGAATAATTCTAGGATATTCCTGGTGGTTATAGTTTTAAGCATCAAAATCAGTTTGGTACTATTATGCAAGAAAATATTTTTCATTTATTTCAAACAAAAATGTACAATTTCAGTTGTGTTGTATGTATATTGTTTTCAAAATCATTATTTAATTTATGTTTTTAATAGTAATCAGAATATTTACTAAATTTTTATAGGGGTATCTTTTTGATTTTTATCTGCATAAAGAATCTTCTGAAGAACCTCCTTATCATATTGGTTTTACTCACATTCTACCAAGTAATATGAAATATAGCAATGGAATTATTATATCTCCTATCACCAGTGTTCGTCATAGGCCAATAGGAGAACTTAAAAGTAAATGAATTAATCTGTCCTAATAGTTATTTCATGTTGTATTAACCTTTTTTTATGTTTATAATTGCAGTTGATTATTTGATTATAAAACCAACAAAAGATATCAAATGCACTTTAGAACATTTGAGGTTGACAGATTGGAAAAATTCTCATTTCCCACTAGATATTGGACACAGGGGATCAGGTTCATCATTTAAACAAATTCTATCCGAGTGAGTTTTTATTTTACATTATATTAAGTATGAAGTATATAGTTATCACTAGAGATAATTTTAATATTTGTAAATTTCAAACCATGTTTGCATTTTTTGCGCTTAAAATATGGTCTGAATTTTTTTTAAATTGTTTTTTCATAAATTTTTATAATATTTTTAATGCACCTATCTATCACTTATGAATGAAAATTTAAAAACAAAATGTTATTGTTAATTTTAATTATAATTGTTGTAGTTGTTCACATATTCGTGAGAATACAATAGCATCCCTAAAAGAGGCAGCAAATAAAGGAGCTGATTTAGTTGAGTTTGATGTACAACTTACAAAAGATTTGGTACCTATCATTAATCATGATTTTGTAGTATCAATGGCAACAAAATCAAAAACAAATGTGTTAGCTGAAGAAGTTGAAATGGTTCAAATTCCGTTGAAAGATTTTTCTTTCGAACAATTACAAAAGCTAAAAGTAATTATCTAAAATTAATTATTTTAAATGTGTATGCATTATTACATATTACTTATTATTTCAAAAATTATAAAATGTTTTTTAAATATTTTTTAATATTATTTGTTTGTTTTTTTATTGTTATTTGTTTTTAATTTTTACTGTTGTTAATGATGATATATATTTTTAATTTCTTACTTAAAAGCAGAGTATTATTTTTATTATTTAGATCTATATGAAACAAGTTTTGAACAAGTAGTTAATAAGTTATTTTTAAGTAGTTACTTATAAGTTATATGTATTTAAAGTTTTAAAAACCAGAGTTTCAGCGCCCAGTGTTTTATTTTGCATGTTTTTCTATGCTAATATTTTACTCTAGTTACCTATACTTTAAATACTTATAACTCAAAATATTTAATTTTTGTACATACTAGTGCTCCAAAAAATATTCTGTTTTGGAATAAGAAGTTAAAATTATAGTTTGTCATAAAAAAAAAAAAAAAAAAAAAAATAATAAAAATGATACAATATAAAAAAAGTATAAATAATAAAAAATAGTAAGTATTTAAAGTTGTTTCATAAATGCGGTTTTGTTATAATTTTAAATTATAGGAACACAGTTTTTACTAAAATGTTACTAGCTTTAAAATAAAAATAAGGTAGATTATTTTTTTACCTGCCTAATTTTAATAAATACATTGTAATTATGATTTAAGATAATATGATGACTAATTCATAATATATCAAAATATATGATTGGTAGTTAATATTTTGTATTTTTAAACTTTATTATTAGACTCAATTGATTTTTTATGAAACTTAAGGTAAGAACATAATCTGTGTTCTCTAGTTGGATTTTTTACAATAGTTGTATTAATGTTCATAATTTGCTTAAAAATAAAAAAGTGTTTAAAAACTAATGAGAAAATGCAGATAATGTTCTTACCTTTAAGTTTCATAATAAATCAATTCACTTTAATATTAAGAACTACAATACAAAATTGTAACTGCTAAACATCTGTTGTGATATATTCTGGTTAAAAAAAGACAACACACACAAGTGGTATAATGTTCTCTTAAACATAAACAAACTGTAACTTATGTACATATTTGTACCAATCAACACACAATAATATTTTTAGAAAGAAATTTGAAAACAGGTATTGTACTGGAGAAATACAAAATTTATTAGGAAAAGTAAAGTTTGTGATACCGATTAACAAAGTATATAAAAACTTTACATTTCAAACATGTCTATATTCAATTAATAAATCAGTTATAAATCTTTTAGTATTAGAAGTATTGAATATATATTTGAATGAAAAATATTCAGTGTGAATCCAGCAAATTTTAAAAATTTATGTTGTACACTTTTTAACTGAGTATAGTGTTCCCTATGTAGGAATTCTATACGACATGATTATATTTAAAAATAGGATACATTTATGCATAATGCACAATTACGCTATGAGACTAAATGCCTGCTAAAAAATGCTTTACCATTTTATAATGAATTTAAGATTTATAATTGTCTTTTATAAATTCTTATGTTTTATAATTATTTTACAGATTTATCATGTTAAAGAACCTTATACACTTTCAAAAACTCACTTTCTAAATGACATTAGAAATGATTATCAACCTTTTCCGAAGCTTGAGAAAGCGTTCACAGATGTCGATATCAATGTTGGATTTAATATTGAGTTGAAATGGACAATGAAACTTCAGGTTATTATTTATTTTTACTATGTTTATGTATATAACTTTTATATGATAATATTGTAATATTGTTTATAATATAATGATTGTATTAAGATAATATTTAGTTGACACTAATTGTATGTGTTTTATGTTTAATTGGCTATTAAATTTACAGGATGGAACATATGAACTCGACAACCCATTCGATATGAATTTATTTGTTGACACTATACTTAAAACCACATTTGAATTTGCAGGATCACGAAGTATTGTGTTTTCTTGTTTTCATCCTGATGTCTGTACCATGTAAGTTATTGTACTTTTATCCAATTTAAAAAGTAATATCTATAATTTTTAACTTATTTTTTTAAGAATCAATAGCATTTCTGTTACTTTTAATGTCATTTAAAGGTTTCATTTTTGTGCATGTAATAAAAATAAAAAAATAAAATCGAAGAAAAAATTAAGGTTTAATATATTATTATTATTAATTTTGTTTGTCTGCGATAATACTGATAACCTCATTTTTCTGAAATTTTGTAACAAAATTCAAAAAACCTTTATAGTTCAGAATTAAATATTTTTTTGAAATAGAACATGTTTTTATAAAAATATTTTACTAATTTTAATGAAAAGTGTATTAACAATTATATCACATTTAATAAAACAAATAGCCAATTTATTTAGTAACATAAAAAAGTGCTTTATAAACAATAAAATACATGTAAAAAATATTTTATGATTTATGATTAATAATTTTATAGGCTTAAAATGAAGCAAAATAGATATCCTATATTGTTTTTAACTCAAGGTGTTACCGTGCGGTACCCTACATATGCTGATCCTAGATGTCATTCTATTCAGAACGCTGTTTACCACGCTACTTGTCATGATTTATTGGTAAATTTACTGATTTTATTTTTAACTTATAAATTATATACAATAAACATATAAGCTTATTAGTTTATTTATTTACAATGATAATAATTATTATTTAACTCGTGTTTGTATTTATGTATAACTTAAGTTATAAATATAAGATTGTTTTATTTTAGAATTATATTGTTTACATCTATTTAGGGAGTAAATGTTCACTCTGAAGATTTGTTGCGTGATCCATTACAAATAAATATTGTCAAACAGGCTGGACTCGCTCTTTTCTGTTGGGGAGATGATAATAATTGTAAAGATGTAGTGAATAAATTCAAAAAATTAGGCGTAAATGCTGTTATATACGATAAGTAATAAGTTATTATACATAGTTATTAATGCTTTTATGTTTTAACATATTATTTGATTATAATTACACAAGTTTTTTATGATGATTTGTAACAATCGAGCATACTATAATCCAAGGCTAGGCATTAAAGACAAGTTAAAAATTACATTTTAAAAGTACCTTTTTCATGGTATACACTTACTATAACTTAATTTATTATAAAGTCATATTAAGTTAATTTTTTGTTACTATTTAGTGTAAATTATTGTTTTAATAGAAAAAAAAAAAAAATCAGAAATATTTGAATGTTATATGTATTATAATTTATAAATAACAAAGTGTAGATTGCTAAAAAAATGTAGAATGCATAATTTATAGTTTAAAACAGATTAAATCAACAATTATGATAATAACTTTATATACATATTGATATAAAATTAAAATTTCATCAAAATGCATAAGTTTCAATTCTCAGTAACAATATTATCATTTCAATATTTAAATTAATACTGAAGGTATATCCCTTGAAAAATAAATCTAAATAATTAATAACTTCTATTAATAGGATTCTATCATTATACAGCCTCCCTTTCTTTTATTATTTCTATGAATTACTTTTGTATATATTATTTTTTAAATATATTTTTTTTGTTTTTACATTTTGTTAATATTTAGTTAAAAAAAAAAAAAATGTAACTGATTTTTTTCTAAGAAAAATTACTTTTTTATCTATTTAATTTATAAAATTTATTTTTACTTGTAATTTGGAACTTAAACTTTATCTTATTTTATTTAAAAAGTTAAACCATTTGTGAATAGTCCAGCCTTGATATTATCTAAGATTTAATTGTATTGTAATACTTTTTAAAAATATTTTTGTATTTTTTATTCTTTAGTTGATTATAATTTGCAAACAACTATATATTATTTAAATATTTTTTCAAACATTGAATTATTTTGATATTAATTGATTAAAATTTTATATTTTAGGTTGGATAAGATTGAGTTGTTGAAAAAAAAAATGTCTTGTTCTACTGAAAGTCCTGATGTCTTCATTGCCAATAATTATTGTGATCAGAATGATATACTTTTATCTAAACAACAATCACTTAATGAAGATCCACATTTACGTGAAGATAATGTTAGTTACATAGAGTTAATTTAATTTAAGCATGTATTTAAATTAGTGGGGAACCTTGGGTAGACTTAATGAGTAAACAAGTTTTAATATTTTCTGATAAAAAAGAAATCGATCAATCAAATTTAAAATGAAACATGTATTGGTCTTTTTTTAATAAGCTTAAATTTATGTTCATGTGAATAGCTATATAACTTATTGATAATTATTTAATTGATTATGGCTGTTGAAGATTTCATTACATTAATGTAAAATATTGATAAAATAGTAAAATAACTTGTATTTAAGTATGGTCGATGAATAACAATCAACTTAATAAAAATAGCTATTGGTAAGCATGAGCATAGATGAAATGATGAAACATAATATACATATTTTAATTTGGATTTGGTTTATTAGTATCATATTGCTGCAGAAGAAGGTGGAAAATAAGTATCTACTTGTCTTCTGCTACTATGCACCAACAGTGAATCAAATCTAAGTTAAAATAATGAGTGATAAGTAATTACATTGGAGTTGCTTACCTAAAGTATATTTAAATCAATAATGAGATATATCAGAGGTCTCTAACCTTTTTATGGAGGGCAATATCTAAGATACACTTTGGCATTGCAGGTAAAATTTTTTAAAGGAATAGAGTGGTAATGAAATTGAGAATAAAAAAGAAGTATTTTGGTTTTAGTAAAATAAATATTTTTTTTTCGATAACGATCGCCGCCTTAAACAAGATAACACAATCTACAACGATTAACAAAAAATTATTCATTTTATTTTAAGGTTTTATTATTTTTCTTTTACTTGGAAATACTATTGATAAATAAATAATATTTTCAAAACATCAATTAACTTGGTGGGCTGGCTTAAAAGCTGGACAGTACTGTACAGACCTGCGAGCCGTAGGTTGGAGACCTCTAAGATATATCTTAAAAAAATATTATAGCACCTTGTGTAGCATTAAACCCATTATACTAATCCCTTACTAAATTACTAAATCACTATTTACTAGTTAGAAAAGAGAACTCAATAAAATCAGTATTTTCGATTGATACATTTAACAAATTTGTTTTTATTAAATTAGATATTTTGTCAATAATACTGAAGTATGAATATAAGTATTTATATTCTCTCTCATCTCTTTTTATGCTTCGCTGCTGGTTTTAATATTTAATTAATTTTAAGAATATATATCTTTAAGTATATTAAAAAAAAAATGTTTCATATTATATTTTATTTTTAGTTGGATGTAATTGTAAATTAGTTGCTTATCTTATCTGACTTTTAACTTACAAGGTGATTTATTTAACACTGAACTTATTATTTAAGAAAACAGTTTTGAAAATATTTCTTTTACATAATTTTAAGTTGTTACAAAACAATATTTTTTTATCACTTTAATATTAAAAAATTGTATTCCTTTAGATATACTTTTGATATAATTTCTAATTTCATGTCTCAAAGAAGAATATTACTAGGAATATTTTAAATTTCTAAAAATTGAATTTTGAACAAGTATTTATAAATAGACCAACATTATATGTATTTAAAATTTGATAAGTATGATGCAAATTTAATATCAAAAAATGTTAGTTAACAAAATACTTCAAAATAAAAGAAAATTTTTTTTTTAACAAATTAAAATAATTTAAACAATAATGAAATAACAGATTAACTTTGTAATGCATAACAAAGCTAAATTTAAAATAATAATTTTAATAGAACTTTAAGAAATTAATTTTTAATTTCTCTTATCAAATAATTAATCAATAATAATTGTTAATTTATTTATTTTTTTTTGTGAATAGTTAAGAAATAAAAAATCCAATATCCAGAATTTAGAGATGAATATATTTGATTATTTACCAAAATATAAACATATGCACTAATGAAAAAATATGCCTCAACTCTCAAAGTATGCAATCATATGTAAAATAAAATTTGGTTTATGTGATTAGTTCGATTTGAAATGCAGACATTATTAATACTGAATATAGTTCATACACCTAGTATTTATATGTGAACACATTTAATCTGGTCTTTAGTTTCAAGTATTAGAGTAAGCATACTAGTTGACAAACATTTCGTGGAGTATTCCAGTATCACTCCATTATGCTCTATTCATTTCAACTTTTAATAGTTAACAATTTGTATACTACTCATCTAAAATTTGATTTTTATGTTCTGAAGTAGTGCTAAAAATATTCTGTTTTGAATTAAGTAGTTATAATTGCATCTTGTCATTATAAGAATAAAAACTAATTTTAAAAAGTAACGGTTACATTTTTTTAGATAAATGTTGGTTTTTTTATTGAATTAAAATTATTTTTAAAATGATAATTTGTTTTGAAATAATGAGTAATAGGTTGAATGAATTACTTATGTAAAGATAGTATAGTACTATCATCAATCATTATTTAACTGTCATTACCATTGCATCCAATTTTTCAAAATATAAAATCACTCAATATATTGTTTGTGAAACAAATTTATCATAAATTTACTTTTTAAGTTTTTAAAAATAGCGGACTGTAAAATAGTAGTTTTGCCTTAAATATTATTATTATACTTGAATGATTTTATGGTGTTATTGAACAAATTTTCTGATCTAATCTTATTTGATTAATAATTAAATATATTTTTTCTTTCTTAATGATTTTAAGTGTGATATAATGTATTTGTTGAAGAATTAATTTAATATTTTGGTTATTATTAATTAAAAATGAGTTTATCAATTGAAGATTTGAAAATTATATCAACTCATTATAACATGAAATGAATTTGTAGCTTATTCTGTTGTAATTGAATGTTCTAGAAAAAAATGCAAATACTTTAAGTTTTGAGCACTACTCAGAAAATTAAATATTAAAATAATTTAAAGTTCATTAAAATGTAACATATTTATATATTTATAATAAATGGAGTTTTATTTTAGGAAAAAGATAATAATAGATATTTCATGGATGTCGGTAAAGCCAGTTTTCAAAATCAATGTTCTTCAACAGAAACGTTATGGAATGAAAAAAAAAGTGATTCTAAGATGCCATCAAAGAAACAGAGGTAATGTGCTTATACTTTTTATTATATTTAATATTTTATTCTAAACATATGATTTAATATATTAAACATGTTTGTAAATAGATTTGACTGTGTTGATGGTTTATTGGAATCGGATGTTAAACCAACTAAATCCAAAAAATCTAAGTAAGTAATAGTATTGCTAAAAAAATGTATTCATTTTGTTCTCAATGTAGCGAATGGTGTAACAGCATAACTATCACTAATATGTCTAGACACTGAAAGAAAAACTTACCTTTATAAACTTTTAATTGTATTATGGGAGTTTACTGAAAAATTTTAATATATTTATATTACATATTAGTTTTTTAAATTTTAATAAATTTATTATTATAATAGTATATTTTAATGTCTTTCTTAACTTTTTACACATTTAAACTCTAAAGTTGATTTAAAATATATAACCTGATTTATTAATATGCTATAATGTAATTAAATTATTTTTCTTTATAAAAACTATAATTCAGAATCTTGTATAAATTTCCATGTTTCAATGTTGTTATTATAATTTACCATGGTTTATTGATGGCTGGTCTAATGATATTTCCTAAAATGATTTTTTCACATTTGAGAATCTTTATTCTTTCACTTGATATAAATATGATAGAAATATTACTCAACTAAATTCCTTAGTGATAAATAAAGATCATAGTTTTTGTAATATTATTTATTTTTTTTATTTAATGCTTTTATTATTTTTTTTTCAGGACTAATAAATAGAAGACTACTTAGAAACTCAAGTTTTGAACAATATCAAATAATCAAAATAATTTACAAACATATTGTATTTAGTTTAATATATTATATATTTTATTAATTGTATTTTAATATATTATTAAATAATAATAATTGTTAATTGTTGATTAACCAATCAGTGTAAGAATAGGAATTTTTATAAGCTATAAAGCTTAAATTTAAGTGTTAATAGAGTTAAATTAATTAGTAGGAACATAATATTTTTAAAACATATTTTTTTTTTAAATTTATATTAGTATGTTATAGATGTTAATTTTCTTTTGCTTAAATGCGGTTCGGTGCTGTAATTTAAATTCATATATATATATTTATTATTATAAATCCACCTTGTATGTGCTCAGTGTCGTGATGACTGACAATTTGCAATATTATTACAATATTCCTAGAACCTGGGATTTTTATACATAATTATATTAGTTTTTGATGAATGTTAATTATTATAAAAATATTTTCATACAGTACCATTATTTTATATTATTAATTATTTTTTGACGTTTTTATGGTTAAATCATGAAATATTATTTGGTAATAATTTGATTATACGAGTATTATTAATAAATATTTGGTATTTATGTGGTTATTTTATTATTAGCTGTACCAATCATTACAGGGCTTAAAGTAGTTAAAATTGAGCAATGGACAATGGTACAGTGTTTCATTGTTTTAATACTATATTTTGAGTGTTCCTATTATTAAACTCATATTATTTTTATTTTTTTCAACATTTAAATTTTATTGTGTATTATATTAAGTTCTTGTTTATATCAGTACTTGTAATCTTTAAATTAATACCTAATTTTACTAATTTAATTAATTTGTAAATTTCTGTATGTTAATCATTTTAGCATCCATTCTTCAAAATGTAAATAATATTATGATTAATCATTTTATAAAAAATATTTAATACTTATTAAAAGAATACTTTTTCAAAAAAAAAAAAAAACAATTTAATAATTAAATATGAGGGCACCTAGTATTTCATATCTGTATAACATTTCACTGTACAATATAAGTGATCCATGAATGTGTCTTATAAGACAATGTACTATAAAACTAAATTTAAAATTAATTTTCTCATTATTATACATATAAATGCATATACGAGAATAAATTAGATAAATTAAGAATATATTTTTACAATTTTTAGATATGTTTGATGTTGAATGTGTTAGAAAAAAATTTAAAACTTTTAATTATAGGTAAAGAAATTAATAATTTCACTGTGAGATCATATCAGAAAGTGTACTAAAGTAATTTAGACATGTCAACATTTGTCATACCTATGAGACAATCATTATTAATATTAATTTATTATCTTATTTATAAAAGCACTTAACTGTCTAAGTTTTGTCTTAATAGAAACTGTTTCCGCCTGAAACAGGTTACACTATTACACTATGATTCATATTCAGAATTATCTCATTATTTATCGATTAAATTAATATTACTTAGGTAAAACAATTTCACTAGTCTTTATAACAACCATCTAATCGCGCGGCAAAGAAGTAGTTGAATGTTTTCAAGTATTTGGTGTAATGTACCAATATTGTGTACTGTAAAAACAAAATGACTCTATATTTTAATTTTAAAATGCCTAAGTGGCCAAGTTATAATTTAAAAGTTTAGTTTGGAAATTGCAGGGACTTAATAGTAAAATAACATGATATTATTGCCGATATTACTAAGCGCGTGAGTTACGCTTATTATTATGAAAACAAAAACGGATTTGACCGGTGTATACCTATCTCGTTAGATTTATTCATGCGACCGTCGAGACGGAGACTCGCGATATTCTCATCGAAGGCGACGTCAGTAAAATACAGACGAACAATGCCACAACAATAAGCTTCTTTCGGGAGTGGTAAACTGAGTCCCAAATAATTGGATGGATATTGGGACTAGGTAAATTGAGTCCGGAAAACTTAAACGTGCTTGGTAAATTGAGTCCCGAGTAATAATATTTTTCGAAAAAATAATTTATAAATTATAAATAATGACAATCTACCTACTTAAAAATATAAAAATAAAGTCTCTACATTCAATGAGTACTTTGTAGTTACTAGTCAACAATTAGTGATTGTCGATTACCGATTTGCAAAAAATATCAAGATTTGAATTCGCTAAGAGTATATCAAATAAATGTTTACCATGTACATAATAACTATAAATAGTAACTAATAATAAAAATAATAAAAAAAAAAAAATTGACTTGAATTTGTATATTATATATTATATATAATTAATTGTGATTTGTATGTATAACGTAGTGAGTTATATTAGATATTAAAAACAAAAAAAGCACATTTTTAACCATGCCAGTTTTTTTAACATAACAGACAGTCTATTAAGCCTGTAAAAGTGAGAAGGAAAATGTGCTTTTTTGGAAATTAATTCGGGACTCAGTTTACCACAAAAATGGTATTTCGGATTCAATTTACCTAGCCCCGCTCCTATAGCCACAGGCTGGATTGGGGGGTGTTTGGGAGGTGGGCGTAGCCCCCAAAAATTATTGAACATTTTTCAAAGTATTAAATAGGTATCTATATTTTGTAACAACGCAAAGAAAGATTTAAGCTCCCCTCCTAAAATTCAATCAAATATCCGCCAATGCCTATAGTCTATAAGTTACAGTTTAATATTATTATTATGACGCCGGCACTACATGTCTCGACCGATCGACGAGCCGCGGCTGCTGTCGAGGCGCGCAGCATGAAGTAATAATAATAATAATAATAATAATAATAATAATAGTAATAACATTGTAGGGCGGCTCGGTTATTTTTAGATCTCTCGCCGATTCTCGGTCATAAGTGTGTTTGTGTGTGTGTGTGTGTGTGTGTGTGTGTGTGTGTGTATTGTGTTATACGAATGCATTGCGATCGCCATACTCTCCCGCGGAGAGATCTCGTGTTCAGTTCACCGTGTACGCGTGCCGCCGTCGCGACAACTACGGTGATTTCAAAAACATTTCCGATATTTCAAGTACGAAGTGTTTACCGCCGGCCGGCGTCCGAGTTCGCGTGAAACGCTGTCCCGTTTTTCCCGGCGTTTTGGCTCGCGAACCGTACACGCATCTCCGCAGTACCCACACGTACACCATAGTATTATTGGCCGACAATAATTATCATTTATGTACACTGGTGTTGCACCATCATGTCCGTTTACCCCGTACAACACGTGCCGATCGTCAAGTCGAAGAGACCCGAAAACTCGGCGTATTACAATGACTTCCGTCCGCCGTCTCTCTATTCCGTGTACGTCGACCGTTTGTAATTATGTTATATTATACACTTTTATGATTACCTACTGCATACCTCACACCTCGGTGTATTTGTGCGAAGGCGTTACCTAGTTAAAAAATTAATTTTTTTGAAATATTCAATTCTAAAATCAAATTAACAGATTTTGACTTATTAACTGTGATTGTTTAGCATTTTTCAGTCGGCTAGTTTGAAAGTTCAAACATACTACTACAGTAAACGTCGAGAGAACGTCGCGAGTTGTTTTAGGTTTAAAAATAGCGAAGTTGCGTTGGGAAAAATAAATTTGAGTTGTTAGGTATCTTTAATATGTATTTTAAGTAAATCGATTTAAATTTAAAGTCTAAAGGTAAGAACATCATCTGTGTTTGATCGTTTGTTTTTAAACAAAATTTTAATTTTTAAGCGGATTATGCGAGTATCCTTATACGAGTATTCAAACGCGATTATTCTTTAGGATGGAAGTTTGACATAGTACATTTTAGATTTTTGCAGTAATCCATTGTGAAGCAGTGAAGCCCACTCTGTTCTCCTGGCTATGCCACTGTTTTATATTATAATTATAAGGTATTTTATATTGGTAGGTTCTCATAACCAAGGTTTGTGAAAATATTTTACCATTTTCACCTCGTGTAGTGGTTCCAAGTAAAGGGGCTCATAGTTCGCTTAAAAGCTTAAATATCGTTAAAAATTTACGTTCAAACACAGATTACTGTTGTGTTTGATGATATAGGTCGTTGCAATCTCAAATATTAAAGCTGGTTATACGAAATTGATTTTGTTGAACGCAAATTTACCACCTACGTAATAATATCAATGTTGTAAGACGCACACGGATAAGTCGCCTCGTCAAAATAGGATTTATAGGAAAATCATACAGACATTCGTGCGATATGCGACTACCGTACGATGTAAAATGTATAATATTCTGTGGTCTATCGTATAACTTTGAATATAGTATAATGTGATCTTCGGTGTACTAAGTAAGATGTAAAACATCAAATTAATCGTTATAGTCAATTTTAAAAATTAAAATTTTGTGAAGAATACATAGATAAGATGAATTATAAAATATTACATTACTATAATTTGATTACAGCCCGGTACAAATCAATTTATAAATTCGATGATATTTATATTGATTCAATACAGGATCGTTAAGTGTACGATTACGGTTAGATTAAAACAAATATAATTGACATTTATTTTGCAGTGCTAGATATTTAAACATTTTAAATTAATAATATTATTCTATAATTATTTTATTATACAATATTATACTATTTTATTTCATAAACATTTTAATGATTTATTGTCAAGCGACTCAAAAATAATTTGTATTTGTATTATGTAATTACCATTTTTTATAGTTTGTAGAATATAATATTATAATGCATGTGGGGTATAGATAACAAGTTAATTATGGTAGATGTTTGTCGTATGATAGATTGTACATTGCACGAATGCCAATTATAGGTAGTGCCTAATAGATACATTAATATATAAAATTGTGTAACTTTGTGGTTAAAAAAAAAATAAATTATATTTATTTAACCTCACTGTACATGATAATTTTGAAATAAAAATAAATCAATAAATATTTCATGATTTAATAATTTAAAAGACTTTAACATGTAATTTTGTACTTTACAAAATTAAGTATAAATTTTTAAGTATATATATATAAATAATGAATTACGAAAGATGGGCGAATTTTTAATGTGATGGATAGTGTTGTAAGGGCCTAGTAGGTCATAGGAAAATAATTTTTTAGAATCAATTGCTTGGTAATGAATTGTTTTTATATTTTTACTTTTTATTATTAAGCCTGAAAGAACGAAGTTGACTAGAAAGACTAGTAAGTGCATGGTTTAGAGAGCTCCATCCGGCACCCACACACACCTGCTTTATAAGGCGTTTGTTATAGGCAATATTAATGATATTTTAAGAAAAATTTAAGCGTTTAAATACGAGGTAATTCAAAGAAACTTTCGAGATGTGGTATCGAGTCATATTTAGTTGTCTTTTGATTAGAAAAATTTTTTGGAAAAAAAAACAATTTTACTTAGGAAATATTCGATAAGGCTACTGAAATTATACATAAAAAATTTAATTTTTACCACAATAGGAAACTTTGACTATGCAATGTTATTTTTATTTTCAAATTTATGTTTTTTAAACCTAAATACTATTAGTACGCTACTGCATACATACGAGTATATATATATATATATATATATATATATACAATATATTAATAGTTTTTCCCAAATTGTTATTTATGAATGAGAATTTATTTTTTTTTTGCTTTTAAATGAGCAAAGTCATTTATTGCTTTATTCAAATTTATTTGAGATGTACGGCGTTGTTTAAAATTTAATATATCTATATTAGTCAGACTAAGTTTATCGTTTAAATATTAAATAGCATTAGTTATTTACATAAGTATAATTTTTATAAACTATATGTATCCAATATCTATTTGTTTATAATTTATCTATTTATCAATTTTTTTTTTTTTTAGAAAAATTGTCCCATTGATCCAGTAATTTTTTTGTTTTTATTTTCTCTTTCCATTTTTAGTTTTCTTTTTGCAGCTTCACCGAAGTACTGCCTCAACGTTGATATAATTAAAAATTGATAGGATTAGGTATATCTTTAAGACAATATTATAGACAATACTCTGAGGTAAAATGAAAAGGACTAGCCGCATGCCTGCATAGATCACGGGTGGCGATTATAAAGCTTATCTGCTTATTCCGGAAATCCTAATTATACATATAAAAATAACTCATTGAACACTATAATAATTTTATTAATTATTATACCTTATTATAAGATATGTGCAATCTGGTGGCCCTGTTTTGATAAAAATAATAACTAATAAAATAGTATAATGGTATAAAAACAAATGTTTTAATAACTTTTGTATAATTTTACTTGAACATAATGAGAATATAATACAACGATCCACATGAAAGTGGGGCCCTGGAACTAACACCAAATGGCTTCTTTACAGGGGCATTGTCCCGGCTATCCTTGCGATTTTTGCGGCACTGCTATCGGATGGTTCTTGCCCATGCGAAACATGATATTTTGGTGTCCTCATAATGTCTGATAGTTTGATTGATGTAAAGTAAAAAGCCTTGAGTCATAACATTTGTTTGACTTTTGATTATTTGGGTAGTGGTTCAGAATTATGTTATATGCGACCTAACTTGTTTGAACTGAATATTGGTGATAATATTCCATACAGATGTAATAATGCATTTAAAAAGTAAGATCTCTTTAAGTGATTGAAACATTATAGTCTTTCAGAAAAATAAATAAATAAATTAATATTTAAAATTTTAAATTAATATTTAATAACTATGGGTCGTAGTTGGTTGGTGACATTTATTATCGTTTCGACAATATAATATCGATTCCACCAACACAAGTAATTATTTAATTATTGTATGCTAAAGTTAAAAATATTTAACTATGTTTGCCAAAAATTTTGTAGGCATCTATCCCAAAAATTAAAAATTAACGAAATAGTTTTTTTTTTTTATTGCATGTTCTTCTTAAGTTTATAAAAAGACACAAAACTACATGAAAAATATTTAAAAATAACAAAAAAATAATAATAATTTAGCTCTAGTTATTCTAATTATTTCAATTCAAATTGAATTTACTAAACTTTAGAGGAGTGTAATGATGTATTATTATTATTATTGTATTTTTTTAGTTTATCATCAATATTTCCAGAAAAAAGCATCATCAGAATTTATTAAAAAATAAATATTTTGATATTAGTACAATTAATAACATAGAATATAATTTATATACTTATATTTTTTTAAGCTTTATACATAATGTTAATAAATTTTGGCGAAATTCAACATTTATATATGTATATTTCAAAATTATTTCTAATGATATCAAACTTGATTATAAATACTATAATATTTATGTATAGTCTATATCTACTATATACTTACAATTTAAAATATGATGTTTATTTATTTTGAATAGTAGATTAATTTCGATTAGGTACTACTTAATTATCGATTCGTCCAATAACAGCGATATTAAAAACTGTTTATGAATCATAAAAATTATAATTAATGAATTTTAATTTTTAATTATGATAGGATTATAAATTAAAGAATAAATAAACAATTATTATACTTTTAATAAATTTCATAGTTATTAATTTTTTTTTTTTTACTTTATAAATTTATTTTTGATTATTGCTTATAAGTTTACTATAGGTAATTTATAATAATATATATTGCTTATTATGATTAAGTACTAGTATAATATATTATATAATATATATACTAATATTATATTTATTCATATTCTCTATTATCATCATGATATAACAATTATTGCAGACTGGATAATTTATGTGATATTATTTTTATACGTTTTAGTTAAAGTTGATAACAATTTGAAATGTACTATTTAAATTGATAAGTAAATATTTTTTTTATTAAAGAATATAATAAATTCAACCATTTTGCATACGAGATGCATATCACTATAGACACTAAAACTATAACAAGTTTAATAAATTAAATAATAGGTAATTATCTCTAGTGAATAAGTTTTAAACTAAATAATAATTCAATATAATTGTACCTAAACTAAAAACTACAAAAAAATCATTACGATTTTATAATCAAAATTTGATTTATTATTTATAAATATTGAATTTAGTAGCATACAAAGGCATTTTAAAAGCATACGCAGTTAACTAAAGTATATTATCAACCAATATCCACATTTATTTTGGTATGTAAAAAAATGTTCCTGCCGCTTTCAACAACATTTTTACTCACACAGTACAGAGTTATTTACAATAATGAACTATTATAATATACATATTAAGCTTTCACGTGACATCAGTTATTTACATCTATCCCCTCTCAAGAGCGCATATAGCTGCATTACTTGGTAACCTATTTAGGCGTCAGTGATAGAATTATTTGAAAAATAAAAATACT